TCTAACTCTCTTATTCTGTTACTCTGCTTCTCATACCTGCCATGGAAGCTACCACAAGAGATAACCATCCTGGGACCATTGACCAGGAGAGGAAGGTATTGGGCTCATCAGTTGCAAATCTCATGAAGATGAACAGTCCAACTCCTCCTATGCAGCCTAAAAGACAAAAAGGGATGAAGGTCAAAAGATGAGGTCTTTAAAAGTTTTTATTTTATTTTATTTTATTTTATTTTGAATTTGTATACCGCCCTTCTCCCTGAGGACTCAGGGCGGTGAACAGCCAAGTAAAAACATCAAATACAAATATTAAAATACAAACTCCAAAGTCCAACTCCGATATTATCCGATAGTCAGGATTTTGACTTTTTCAATTGTATGGCCACAATAATCATGCTTACCAAAACTGGACATGGAAAGGGGAAACCGCAAGAGTGTAACCTGGGATAAAAGATCATTGTGGTTCAACTTTTTGCCCAGCTAATACCATTTTCAGTTTTGAGCCTCCCACCAACACTCCATCATAATTACATGTCTTTTGTTCAGTGTTTTCCCTTAACTCGGGGAAGGGCAGGGGTGGGGATATCATTTCCTTTCTTTCACACTTATTTTTTTCCCGCTGCTTTTTGAACAGCTGCAAATATCCATGATTTCTAATAGTTTGGTTCTGCTAAACCCAAATCAAACATCACAATGAGATTGTGGATGTGAATTCAACTTAGTGGGATCTATCTATGACTATTGTACCTCACTTGAAAGGATGGCATCTAGTCTTCAGGTTCTGAGTTTGTCTTTCCTCCTTTGAGATTGAAGCTAATTTAAAATCACTTCCATCTTCCTGCAACATCTGGAAAATGAAATGGAGTGTGTGCTGTTGTTTTTCTTACCTGAAAAGAAACTCAGAGTGATGGCTAAATCAGCGTGGGAGAGCTTCTGTGACGTCTCGGTAGCAGCGAGCGAACGTGTGCCATAGATCACGGCCGAATAGCAAGCTATAGCAGAGATCAGCATTAAAATGATAGATATGGCAATATAGACTAGGAGAAAAAGAAAGAGGAAGCAAATTGTGAAAAAAATCTAGAATTGCCTTCTAGAATCACTACAGGCAGGCCTGCAGCTTTCAATCCGATTAACAGAATAACAGAGTTGGAAGGGATCTTGGAGGTCTTCTAGCCCAACCCCCTGCTTAAGTAGGAGACCCAATATTATTCCAGACAAATGGTTCGTCCAGGCTCTTCTTAAAAACCTCCAGTGATGGAGCACCCACAATCTTTTTTCCTTTACCTTCTAACCTGAGCATCAATTTACTTCCTCCTGCCTGCAGAAACACTATTTCTATTTCTAGGCCAAATAGAAATCTTATTTGGAAGCTTTTAGGAAATACTGGATGATTCTTGCTGCTCTTTTGAAATCTTCTCAGAAGAGAATATGCATGGCAAAGAGTTACTTCGATGGGGGAATCAGATTCAAGTTCCCACAGGGCATGCTGATGATGAAATGTAGTTTGGAAAGTCATAATGCTGAAGCTGTGATTTGTGCATTTATCTCAGCGATCAGAAGGACATAAGGATAGGGATTGTGCCATGATGTCCCCATATCTCTGTCATTTGGAAGTAATCAGTTTGCTGCTAACACCTCTGGTTTAAAAATAGGGACCTACAGAATAGAGTCACCAGCAAAAGTTACAGAATGAATTCCTAATGCTTCCTTACTTGAATGTTACCAATTAACCAGCAGATGGAGATAAAGACTCATGGAGAAGTAGGCAAGACTATAAATTTATGAACTGATTATCAGCAAGTTTAGGATTTTAAGGACAAACTTACTGGGGTACTGGTTCACCTTTTCTAGTAAACCCAAATAAAAATATTTGGATTTCCCCCACCCCTCCGGTTTATGCCACCAGCAAACTAAACACCAGCTGAGCCTTATTATGCTCCTTATTTGAAATGTCAGAACTGATTGCTATACGGTTACATATAGGTGCACCCCTTAAAACGAATGCAACATTGGCCGAGAGATTTACTAGATGGGCATGTGAATGGCATTGTAGGTAGTAGTTGGCACCTTCTGCCTACCTATTCAATAGATCTACTTTGAAAACTTATGGTACCCACTGATGTTCTTTCTTCAGAGCTCATCCAAGGAAGAAAGAAATATGTCTTGTTTATAAAACAAGGAGAGGTATATGTGGTCAGATCACCTTCCGTATTCCTTCAGTGTTCTGACTGTTTTCTTTCATATCACAACCTGGCAGTCTTGGGCCTCCCTATTGCAAATGCAGTGTGTCTAATGATAGAGGAACCAGAAGCTGCAGACTATAAACATGAGGTGAAGGTGTGCAGCTGTGCCTCTACACCAGAGTCTAGCAACATGTTGAAAAAGCAGTGATTGCATAATTTCTTGTTTAAAAGTTCTTTTTTCTGAGAAGGAGGCAGCGTGATTCCACTTCTGATATCATTGAACAAGGCAAGCATCTACCTTTTGCCCATGCTCCTGCTTCTAATTCCTGACTTTTACTAATACACTTATTTATTGTCATCCTTTGCCATCTTTTCTCTAAGCAAAAGGTGGTAAGTGTCTTTGGAGAGGGGACAATTCTCCTCATTATATTCCCGAAACAACAATTCCTAGAGTGGATTGAAAAAGATTGACCAATGTTGCCCAGTAAACTCCATTGTTACAGAGAACATTAGCCTGGATCGAGGTCCAATGCTTTTACTGTTATTACAAGTAGTCCTCGACTTACAACCATTCAATTAACAACCATTCAAAATGACAACAGTATTGGAAAAGGTGACTTATGACTGTCATAGCATCCCCATTGTCATGTGGTCAAAATTTGGACACTTGGCAATTGACGTATTTATGACTGTGTCAGTGACTCAGGATCACACAGTTGCCATTCATGAGCTTTCCCAGGGGGTTTCCAACAAGCAATGGGTGGGGGAGCCAGATTCAGTTAACAACCGAGTGATTCACTTAACAACCACGGGAAATTGGTCCTAAAATAAGATGTAACTCACTTAACAGCTGCATCACTTAGTGATAGAACTTCTGGTCCCAATTTTGGTTGTAAATTGAGGATTACCTGTACATTTATTTATAAGATGTAACTGCAACCTCAGTCCAAACCAACAATCAGTTGGATTAGTTCCATCTGTTGCTCTGGAACTATTTTTTTTCTTTTCATCTTTTATCACCAAACCCCTCCTAGAAAACCTGGAGGTTATTTCAAGTGATTTATTAAACATGGAGTGGCTGGGTTGGTGAAGTCATGACCATTTGGCTGGCTACACATTCCTTTTGTAGAGCATGCTAGCTCTGAGGCAATCTGGCATCTCTGCCTTTCCCATGGCTGAGTGAAAGAATAATAGCTGATGGGGGAGCGATCCAAAGAGGAGAAGGGGCAGAGGGAACACCCCGAACAGGGCCTGCTCAAACCGAGTAGTGGCTTCTTTAGTGGCAACACAAGTTCTGAAGATTCCATAGCCCTTACATGGTACTTTTCCCAGAAGGGAACAATGCCCTAGTTGGCAATCTGTCCATAATCCCCGGAAGACAAAGATGCCCCGGACAAATCTTTTGACCCAGTACTCCGTGCAGATGGCTATCATCAGTAGACAAGTAGCTACGCAAGAGAAGAAGATCCCACCCAGGCAGACCCAGTCATAGGCCTTCAAGTTCTTGAACCACACAATGATGGGCCACTTGGAAAGGGACTTCTTGAAGCGATCCATAATGATGGGTCAATGAAAGGATCAAGACCGAATACGGTCTCTTCTGAACCTCAGGAGGTGCTTCCTTGTGGATGAACCATATAAAACCCACATCTCCACAGGTTTTCACTCGGAACCTTTCTTGAAAAATGTACCGTAGTAAAGCAGGACAAGGTTTCCATAGTAACCCCAGTGTTCTGGAAGTTCTGAAGAAGCTTGGTTGGCGTGTTCCTTCCATTGGATGTATGCCCAGCATGGGCATCTATGGCTTTGGCTGCTTTGCCACAATTTATTTATTTATTTATTTTATAAAATTTGTATGCCGCCCTATCTCCAAGGACTCAGGGTGGCTCACAACAACAATCGACCAAGCGACTGTTAAAAATGACAAATATACATAAAAAATATCAAAAAAGTGTTTTAAAAAATTAAAATATACTACCCGATCAGTCCAGACCGGGGAACATAAATAGCCAGGTTTTCAGTTCACGGCAGAAGGTATGAAGGTCAGGAGCCAACCGGAGCCCCAAGGGAAGTTGATTCCAAAGGATGGGGGTGCTCACAGAGAAGGCTCTACCTCTGGGGGTCGCCAGCCGACATTGTCTCGCTGACGGCACCCTGAGTAGGCCCTCTCTGTGAGAGAGTACCGGGCGATGGGAAGCTGACCCTGGTTGCAGGTGGTCCGACAAATAGCCTGGACCTAAGCCATGAAGGGCTTTATAGGTTAACATCAGCACCTTGAATCTCACCCGGAGGGCAACCGGCAATCAATGCAAGCCGCGCAGGAGTGGTGGAATATGGGAGTATCGGGTCCCGGAAAACTCTGCAGCTCTGGATTAGCAGAAGAGACAGTCATTTCTTCTCCAGCATAGTGCATTTTTGTGTAATTGCTTTATTACCTACAGACTGATTCAGTGGTGGGTTTCACATACCTTTGCTACTCGTTCGCTCGCATATCTGATGATGTCCGGGCAGGTGGGCAGAGTCTCCCACTGCCACTAGTACTGGTTCGCCCGAACCAGGGCGAACCTGTAGCAACCAACCACTGGACTGATTGCTTTATTACCTACATACAGATCTTTGCACTGGTAATGATTAAATCAGAATAAAAGCTTCTGGTATTCCTATATTTGTTTACAAGGAAATCTCACACAATTCATTGTTGCTTATTTACTCCCATGGATTCAAAAGTAGAATTCTAAGCCTCTATAGGAAACTCTTCCATCTTATTGCACGCTAATTTTTGCTGTGGGTTGCCCAATGGGTAAAAATAAAAGGCAGAACTTGAACAGAAGCATTGTTTAATTTAAGATACCCAGACAACATCCAAAGTCAATCTTATGCAACCTGAACATGGCTATTGTAATCATTCATTTAAAAAAAACCACACAAATCAGAATACATTGGAATGGAATAATTTGCAAATGAAATGATTGGACACTTCTTGAAAAGTAAGTGAACAGAGGATGGTACTTCCAGAAGAAAAGGACTAGTGAAGCAATCCTGATTTTAAAGCACTAAAGACAATTCACATGGTACTATGAGCAATGCTTCTCAATCTTAACAACTTTAAGAGTTCAGCTCCCAGAATTCCCAGAAGATAGGTAGAGTCTCAATATCCTGCCGAGCTGAAGATCAGGAGAAATAAACCCTTTCAGATTAATAGAGGCCTACCTACCTGACCTCTTAAAAGCCACTGGTAATTTTGCCACCTGAAATCACAATTTTGCCAACACGTTTTGGTAGCATAGTTTTAGGGGCAGAGTGAGCTTTGGGGGCTGCAAATATAGGGCTTAATTTTTGAAGGTTGCCCTAGGGCATGCTCCAGAACCTTTCGCCAAACACATTTGACAGACCATAGGTCAATGTTTCACAACCGTAATCACGTCAACGTGTGGACTTCAAATCCCAGTATTCCCCAGCCAGCATTTACATGTTGAAGTCCACACATTTCAATGTGACTAAAATTGGGAAAGACTGCCATAGGTGATACTCAAAGCCTTTATTGACAAGCCAGCTACTTATCAAAATGATCCCTAGTTACTGAAATAACTAGTATATATGGTACTTTGCTCAATAGTAGTAACTGTGAGAGGGAACTTAGAGTCCTAGTGAACAACCATTTAAAAATGAGCCAGCGTGTGCAGCAGCTGCCAAAAAAGCCAACACAGTTCTAGGCTGCATAAAGAGAGGGATAGAATCAAGATCATGTGAAGTGCTAATACAACTTTATAATGCCAAGGCCACACTTGGAATATTGCATTCAGTTTTGGTCGCCATGATGTAAAAAAGATGTTGAGACTCTAGAAAGAGTGCAAAGAAAAGCAATAAAGATGATTAGGGGACTGGAGGCTAAAACATGAAGAATGGTTGCAGGAACTGGGTATGTCTAGTTTAATGAAAAGAAGGACTAGGAGAGACATGATAGCAGTCTTCCAATATCTCAGGGGCTGCCACAAAGAAGAGGGAGCCAAGATATTCTCCAAAGCATTGAGGGCAGGATAAGAAGTAATGGGTGGAAACTAATCAAGGAGAGAAGTAATTTAGAACTAAGGAGAAATTTCCTGACAGTTAGAACAATTAATCAGTGGAACAACTTGCCTCCAAAAGTTGTGAATGCTCCAACACTGGAAATGTTTAAGAAGAGATTGGACAACCATTTGTCTGAAGTGGTGGGTTTCCTGCCTAGGCAGTGGGTTGGATTAGAAGATCTCCAACGTCCCTTCCAACTCTGTTATTCTATTCTATTCTATTCTATTCTATTCTATTCTATTCTATTCTAAATCTCTATAAAATACAAGATAATAGTTTTGGAAAGTGAGCAAAAAAAAAAAAGTATAGCTGAGCTATACTGTAGATGGGGAAATGCATTGTTACAGGAGAAGCATGGACGAGGTACCCTCTTTGTTGAGAGAAAGCTTCCGTACAATTGTGCTTGCTCTCTTGTTGACTAAGACGTTCATACTCTTTCATAACCGGAAGATGGAGCGTTCAAGGAGGCAACGTGGTTGAAAATGCCTGCAAGGTGAGAAAACAAGAGCAGGTAAAGGACCAAGAAGGCCAGCTTGAGATGCTCAAACCAACCTTGGATCACCCAGGCATAATTGTTTTTGAAGGTTGTGTTGAGTTGCGTGTGTGTGCAAACATAATAACCTGCTATTGTATAAATATATTGTTCTTTCCACTGAATGCAAAATAGCAATAACGTTTAGATTTACATACCACTTCACAGCACTTTATATAGCCCTCTCTAAGCTGTTTACAGAGTCAGCCTATTGCCCCCAACAATCTGGGTCCTCATTTTATCGACCTTGGAAGATGGAAGGCTAAGTCAACCTTGAACCTGATGAGATTTGAACTGCCAAATTGCAGCCATCCAGCAAAAGTAGCCTGCAGTACTGCACTCTAACCACTGTGCCACCATTTTTCAAAGTTTTTTTTAAAAAAAAAATGGCAGGAAAATGCAATTCTTTTAAAGAGAAATGCTTCTGGTCTTATGCAAATGTTCTGATCTCTTGATTACCTTTCTAAGGCAGGAATCCATTGGGTTAATGGAAAAGGGACATTTTCTATGGGAGCTCAAACCAACTAAACATGTAAAAATATCTTCAGTTCCTAAAGTGATGACTGTTTGTCCTATAACACAGGGGTCCCCAGCCCCCAGGCTTTGGACTGGTACTGGTCCATGGCCTGTAGGACGTGGGTCGCAGAAGTGAGGGAAGCTGCATCTGCACATGTGCAAGATCTAGATAACCATCCGAAACCAACACCAAGCCGGTAGAAAAAATGTCTTTTCCAGAAATTGGTATTTCATGTGAAAAAGTATTGGGACCGCTGCTATAATATGTAGGTGTTGTTTTTTTTAAAAAAAATCTTTGGATTATTTTATGACTCTCAATATTTTCATATGCGAACCATCCAGAATTGCTGGAGGTTGGGCAGTATAATAACAGCCCAGTGCTTCTCAAATATGGCTGTTTTTAAAAGTTGTGCAGGCTTCAACAACCAGAATTCTCCACCCAGCATGCTGGGAATGGAAGCCCATACATCTTTAAAGGGGCCACATTTGAGAAGAACTGGTCTATGGATTAAAGTGGTGGTGTTTTGGAAAACACTGCGGTAGACTCACCAGCCAAGAGAAACAGGGGGAAAGTGATCCATCCAGAGTAGAAAGACCATGCAAAGGAGACCTGGAGTTGAGATGAGGTCTTCTCTTTCCATGTTTCAGCTGTATAAACAGCTAGGGCTATTAGAGTGAAGAGTCCTTTCAAAAAAGCAGAGAGAAGATCAGTGCTGATTAACCCAGCTCTGTGATGATTCACCCGTGAGGTTTTTATTCCCCCCACTTTGGTTTGCACATACATTGTGCAGGAAATGTTTGTGTATTGACACAAAGTGTTTAAGACCCCGAATTCACACCTTGCATTCCCACATCCCCCTTAGCCTGACTCAACCCATTTCCTGAATTTGCATGCTCCACTGAATCATGGACTAACCCAATGGGCTGAGAATTAACTGCTGCTAAATTTATACAACATGCCAAGCCATATAAAACTGAGTTATCAATTATGTAAACTTAGAAGATTATGCAAATGCATTTCTAGCCTTACCCTGATTCAATGTATTATATGAACGTAGCCATGGGATTATAGTCACAATCAGTGGTGAAACTCAGCTGGATCTATCCGGATCGTGCGATCCGGTAGTGCTGGTGGTGGGAGGCTCCGCCCACCCGCCTGGATGTCATCACATCCCATTTTTGACCCTCTGCGCATGCTCACATTTTGACCCTCTGCGCATGCTCACATTTGTGAGCCGGTAGGGAAAGGTAAGTGAATTTCTGGTCACCATTCTCTGAAAGCTCTTTGGTGTGTCTGCTTTCATTTTCAGAAGATTTTTGAAAGGGATGAATCACATTTGTGAAACCAGTTTCACCTTCACCAGGTAGATATCCCAAAGAAGATACAGGTAGTCCCTGATTTATGACCAATCATTTAGTGACTGTTCAAAGTTACAGCAGCTTCGAAAAAAAGTGACTTCAGTCCTCACACTTGCAACCATTGCCGTGTCCCCATCGTCACACGATCATGATTCAGGCCCTTGGCAACTGGCATCTATTTACGATGGTTGCAACATCCTGGGGTCACATGATCACCCTCGGAGACCTTCCCAACCAGTATCCAACATGCAAAGTCAATGGGGGAAGCCAAATTCACTTAACAACCATGCGATTTGATTAACAATCATGGCAAAAAAAAAAATTGCCGTGACTCAATCACTGCAACAGTTAGTCCCAAATGTGGTCGTAATTCAAGGACTATATCAGCTTTTATAACTAGTTTTGGTGGCAAAGGCCCTTGATTTCCTGTGGCCCTTTCTCTTTGGGGCATCTGCAACACATATCTTTTGTTTGCTTGCTTTGGACAGCAGTTTGGCTTGATGGATTAAAGCAGAGGTCTGCTGGCTGGAGAATTCTAGGAGTTGAAGTCCACAAGTCTTCAAGCTGCCAAGTTTAAAGACCTGTGGATTAAACGAAGGGATGTCTTCCCTTAATGCAGAGGCGTCAAACTTGATTTCATTGAGGGCCACATCAGGGTTATGTTTGACCTCGGGGGGCCAGAGTGGGCGTGGCCAGCTCGACATCCCTTATGTTGTGGGTGCCTGTGGTGGCCAGAGCGCTCTGCCAGAGAAAACAGGCTTGCAAGCTCCATTTTTCGCTGCGACAGCCTCCTGCAACCCTCTGCTAGTGAAAAGGGAGCCACACGTGGCCCTCCCAAGCTCCATTTTCTCTGGCAGAGGTACCGCGGGGCCAGTCCTTCGCTGTTTCCAGTGTAGCCCTGCAGGCCAGATCTAAATACCCCATGGGCTGGCTCCGGCTCCAGTTCCTGGGCCTTGAGTTTGACATCCCTGCCTTAATGCAAGACATTTTCCAGAGTGGTCTTTCTCTGGAAAACCTTAGCAGGTGAAGTCCACCAAGATTTTTATTAACATCCTCTAGGAATTTCCTAGTAATACCCCTGTTTTTGGCGGTTTCCTCTTCCATTGCAGCTTTACAGAATTGCTTCTATCTGTTTAGTATTTGGGGCCATGATATCTGCTCGGTTACTTATAGTAAAGAGAACACATATTTAATTATTCATGTATTAACTGCAGCTAGAATTGTATTTGCACAAAACTGGAAAAGTGAAGCGATCCCTACTGATGAGAAAGTGAAAATATTAAGGAAAAAATATTAGACTGTGCAGAAATGTACAGATTAACGCTGGCAATTAAGGAGAAAGAAGAAACTGAATATTACATCATATGGGAATTATTTTATCAATGGTTAGGGAATAAAAATTGAAGTTGGAAAAAAGAAGGAGATTAAAGAAGAGTAGAAAATATGTTAAGATAGAGATGTAAACAATATGGTAATTGTTATGACTATCAGGTTTAACATTATTATATTCTTATTAGAATACGGTGAGAGGGGAAATTGAATAAGTTTACTATGCTCAATTGCTTAATATACTATAATTGTAAGATCAGAGAATTAATATCAATGCAGTGAATGATGTTATAAATTTCGATGGTTATTGCACAGAGATCATTTGTACCCAGATGACACACTGTTTAAGAGAAGATGAAATGTTTATATTTTGAAAAAAAAATAAATAGAAACTTTTTACAGATATCCGCTCGGTTACCAAAGGCTTCAACCAAGCTCTGATCATTTGAGAAGACTGTCAAAACCTTATTGAAAATAAACTTTGAACCACCCCAGATCCCCCCAGACCTCTTCGAGATCACTCTCCCTGTGATTGAAGACTTGACCTCTTCATTTTTGGTAACACCTACCAGCCACGTAGGCAGCCATAGAAGCAATCAAGGGTTTGCCTAGGATGCCACACATGGAAGGCATGAAGGCGGCAATCAGGAAGACGTGTAATGCCAACGCCGCTAGAGAAGCCATAATCAGAAACACACGGGCAGCTATGATGTAGCCTGCAAGCAAAGTTATAGATGCAAAAGGTTATGTCTATTTTCAATCCTTATTGCAGTAATATTTGTTGGGTTTTTTTTATTGATTAGATTTTTATCATGCCTTTATTACTGTATAATATTCAGGGTGGTGAACATACATAATACGCCTTCCCCGTCCTGTTTTCCTCACAACAACAATCCCATGAGGTGGGTTTGGCTGAGAGAGCATGATTGGCCCAAAGTCACCCTGCCAGCTTTTGTGCCTAAAGTGGGACTAGAACTCACCATCTCCCAGCAATTGGACCAAAGTCACCCAACTGGCTTACTTGTCGAAGCTGGGACTAGAACTCACATTCCCCTGGTTTCTAGGCCAATGTCTTAACCACTGCGCCAAACTGGTTCTCAATATATCAGAGCATCCTCACCCCCAATAGATTGCTTGTTCAGAAAACGTTCTAACTACCTTCCAGAAAGGGAGCTATCCCACCAGGCTCAAGGTTGACTCAGCCTTCCATCCTTCCGAGGTGGGTAAAATGAGGACCCAGATTGTTGGGGGCAATAGGCTGACTCTGTAAACCGCTTAGAGAGGGCTGTAAAACACTATGAAGCGGTATATAAGTCTAAGTGCTATTGCTAAGTGCTATTTCAACTGTCTATATCTCCTGATTTCCCTGGCGCCTGACAAAGACACAAAGACACAAATACTGATGCACCTTATTGGAAATATTTAGGGGGGAAAAAATGAAGGCCTTCCTGCCATAAACCTTACCAAAGGCATCCTTTACAGCAAAGCATTGGCTTTCGGCTAATCCAGTGTTAATGCAGTACTGCCATAGCCCACTGTGGGACGTCCCAGCAGAAGCAAAAGATACTTTCCAGTAATCGGTGCTGAGCGCCATCAAAAGTAGGCTGATGCTCAAGGATGCCATCAACACGCTGAAGATACGGCAGCACAACATCCTGATGCAAAGACAAAGGTGTTTCAACAGTCACTTTGCTTGGTATCCAACTTTTAGACACCCTAGGGGGAAAAAACAGATTAAATGGAGACAATTTATCCCCAGGGGACAAACATGGAACAGCATTAGTAGAACTATATGTGTGTGTGTGTGTGTGTGTATTTCACTATTGTTCTATTAGTGCAGGAGAGTGCAGTGAAGTCACTGGAGTGGATGGGATCCAGAGAATTCTTGAGGGTTTTGCTTTCTCCTGGTGGCACAGTGGTTAAAATGCAGTATTGCGGGCAAACTCTGCCCACAGGCTGGAGTTTGATCCTGACCAGCTCAAGGTTGACTCAGCCTTTGGAAAGATGGTTTAATGGTAGACAGGACCACATGGTTTTGAGGTCCTGGGCAAAAAAAAGGAAGAGATGCTGAGAATGCCTGGGTTTTATGCCCTTTCTGGACTTTTGAATTTGAGCTTGTATTCTGATTGTCTGTCAGACTCCCATGGGGCTGTGCAGGGGTAACCTTGTAGGTTGTCTTTGTCCCAGGCTTGGTTGAGCCTTGCTGGGTGATGATGTAAGGAAGGAGCTTTGGGCAATTCCTACTATGGTCCTGCCTGAAAGAGGTAGATCTTTGTTATATGGAATAGACTGGCCCAGGCCTTCATGGCCCATTGACAAAGGTGGGAGGGGTGAGTTTCTGTCTCCCTTTTAGGGGAAATATTTTGCCCTTTTAATATTTTTTAAAATATTTCATTTTTCTAGGAGAGGGCTGGTTGCTAACTTCCTACACAGAAGAGGGCTTAAAAGAATCTGCAGCAGAGCAAAGCGTAAATGCAACCATGAACATTCTCGCTCTGAAAGGTGGTGAGATATGGGTTGAATCTAGTGGTTACCTGAAGTCTTTTGCAGAGTCAACCATGGACTTCACTTCAAGCCACTTCCTGCATCCTTTTTCACACTTAAATGTCTTGGTGATCTCAGCAAAAGCTCAGAGTTTGAACAGGTGGGTTTAGAAGAATGGGAGGGAATGATGGGCTTTCTTCTGAAACCCCTCGTTATTTTTTTAAAGACACATAACAGTAAACAGTAACAGAGTTGGAAGGGACCTTGGAGGTCATCTAGTCCAACCCCCTGCTCACGCAGGAGACCGATACTAGGGATTTGAACCGCCGAACTGCCGACCTTTCTGATCGACAAGCTCAGTGTCTTAGCCACTGAGCCACCTAGTCACATTGTGACTATTTATATATACGTATATATACGTGATGATCTATAGCAGGGTTTCTTAAACTTTGGGTTCTCATTAACGTTGAAATGGGAGAAATCTCCTTGCCGTGGATTTTAATTATTTCAGCTCATTATTTCTCTGTTATGTGAGCCAAGAAAGTGGACCAATAAAACTGGATGTGATCCAGTGGTGAAATCCAAATTATTTTACTACCGGTTCTGTGGGCGTGGCTTGGGGGGCGTGGTGTGGCTTGGTGGGCATGGCTTGGGAGGCATGGCAGGGGAAGGATACTGCAAAATCTCCATTCCCACCCCACTCTGGGGCCAGCCAGAGGTGCTATTTGCCAGTTCTCCGAACTCCTCAAAATTTCCGCTGTCGGTTCTCCAGAACCTGTCAAAACCTGCTGGATTTCACCCCTGATGTGATCCCTGACATGAGGGTCTCAAAAGCCCTTTTGGTAGTATTATCAATTTATACCTTGCGCTCCCAGGGAGGAAAGAGAAGAAACAGGAAGGATGGTAGCAACAATCCTTCTTTGAGGTCTTTTCTCCCACAAATACCATTCATTCCCCTCAGCAGACTGAGATGCAAAGTTAAGGAATGAATGAAAGTGTATCTTTAGCTCAGTGTGAGAAATGCTAACTCGAAGAACCCCCAAAGAAAAGTTGATTTCCTCATTTGTAAGAAATTTAAATGAAGACTCAAAATTTGGTTTTGTGTGGCTTGTTCCTGGGATCACCACAGGGGCCAGAATAAGCTCCTGTTTCCAAGGGGAAACCCACCCTCCAAAAATATAAACCCGCTGAAAAAGATATCATGGTTTAGCCATGTATGCTGCAAAGCTAGAATATTAAATCTTAGAGCTGCAATACTGTGGAAGAGAGGAGTTTCTCCTGCTACTTGCTGCAGTTGAGATGGATGCATTAGAGCTGCAATACTGTGGAAGAGAGGAGTTTCTCCTGCTACTTGCCCTCTGCAGTTGAGATGGGTGCATTAGAGTTGGGCAGAAACATTTATCAGTAACTCCCAAAGGATGCTTCTAACCTTCAGATTATTCCCTTGTGCCCAAGTTTTCTTTTTTTATGGGCCTCCTCTGAAAAAAGTGAGAGGAAACCACGGGTATTTCCATCCTTACCTGAATCTTCTTGTAGAATGATTCTTTCCTGGGACAAAGGTGATCTGAACAACCCAAGGGAGAATAAAGGCTGAAGGAAGAAGGCTTGGGAAGAGGACCCTTCAAATGCTGTAGGTGTAAAGATTGAAGAGGCAGCAAAGCCCGAGATAATGTCCTGTCTGGGTATTATAGCTCACCTCTATCTTTTTTTTCATCTTCGCCCACCCACTTCCTTTCCCTCGTTCACACTTCTGTTCGGGTCTGGTTTTCTTCTTTGCACTTCACTTCTGAGTTAATGATATGTTTGCGGCTGCACTTATTTTCATTCTTATCTCTCTTTTAATCTGGAACTATCTTTGCATGAATCGCCTCTTGAGGCCCTGGCCAACGTGAAGTCAGGAGCAACTTGGCTACTTGTTTTTCCTCAAGGTCAATGTTTCTCAACTTTGGCAACTTGAAGATGAGTGGATTTCAATTCCCAAAATTCCCCAGCCAGATAGATAGACAGACAGACAGACAGACAGACAGATGATAGACGGACGGACAGACGGACGGACGGACGGATGGATGGATGGATAGGTAGGTAGGTAGGTAGGTATAGATAATTAGATATAGACAGACAGATTGATAATAGATAATGATAGATTGACAGATAGATGATAGATCGATAAATAAATAGATAGAGATAGATATAGACAGACAGACAGACAGATAAATAATAGATAATGATAGATTGACATAGATGATAGATGATAGATCGATAAATAAATAGATAGAGATAGATAGATATAGACAGACAGACAGACAGATAGATAATAGATGATAGATAGGATAGATAGATGATAGATGGATGGATGGATGGATGGATGGATAGATAGATAGATAGATAGATAGATAGATAGATAGATAGATAGATAGATAGACAGACAGACAGACAAACACAGATGATGATAGATAGATAGATAGATGATAGATAGATAGATAGAATAGGACCGAAACATTTGGCAAGAAATATTCTATATTTGGAAAACAGAATACTGACTACAAACAATTCAAAATAGGTTTGATATCATTAATAAACAGGAAAATTAAGGTGTTTTTTTGTTGTTGTTTCAGAGTCTTTGCAATCCTTAAGAGAGACAGACACACACACACACACACATTTCAGGCAGGCCATTTTGTGATTCCAGAATCCCGTGGGATTTCTTCGAAGCAATCCACCTCACACCCTTGGGAACTGTGTTTTGCTGTCCTTCTCTCCCTCCTCCCAAAAGAGAGAAGAGGAGCTGGAGGAGCTCCAGATGGAGGAGGTTTCGGACTCTCTGCTTTCCCTATCGGACAAAACAGCTCCGTGCATCAACATATGCTGGTGGGCCACAAGCCCTAGAAAACCTGTGGGCAGATAGAGAGGGGAGAGCAGAGGGCCATGAGAAAGTACACTAAACAATTTGAACACCGAGTGTTGTGCTCCGCCAGCGGCCTGAGGAGCTGGCAGAAGAGTTGGACAGTGAGGAGGCTGGGGAGGAACATGGGCCAGTCCTGGAGTCTGGGGAAGACTCAGATGAGGGCTCTGCGTCGGAGGCAGAGATGGGGCCAGGGCCATCTGGGAGTTATGTGCGGACTCCAGAGGGGCAGAGGGACAGGGGAAGTCTGTTCCTAGTGCACGCATGCTTAGAGCTGCCAGAAGGCAAGAACAGTTAAAACAAAAGGGACCCTCCCATAAGACATAAAGGAAGAGCAAAGGCACGTGGGCCTTTGCAGGAAGCAATGTTGTGGATGGTGTCAGTTTGTACTTTGAAGCTCCGTTTTTGACTCTGTGTTTCCATGTGGCCTTGCCAAGATAATTGCCAATTAGGTCTTTGGCAGTGTCAAAGAAGATAAAGGTGGGTGTTTACCAGCCTTGTCCGAAGGACTGTGGCAGACTTCTGTTGGACTATTTATAAACTCTTGGTGATTTAGCACGTGCTGTGAATGAAAGGAATTCACAGCTGTTAAAATAAAAAAATGAGTTTTTGGGACTAATTGTGTGCTTTTTACTATATCAGGAAGCCTAGGTCAGAACACTGGGTCATTTTCTGTACCTTCCCAATGGGTTATGTTTACAGGTGGTCCTTGACTTAAAACAGCTCATTTAGTGACCGTTCAAAGTTACAACAGCACTGAAAAAAAGTGACTTAGGATCGTTTTTCACACCTAGGACCGTTTTCCTTAGTTCCTTAGAGTTTTCTTTAATTGGGGGTGTTACTTGGAACCCTGACGAGTGTTTTCTGGAGATGTTCTGGGGTGGGGTTGTGTCTATGGAAATACAGCTGCCATGGGAGGTGTAATGATATGTGGGAATGACCTGGGGAGACAGGAGTCGTGCAGCCTCGACAAAGTGTCTATGGAGATTCTCAGTCCTCCAGGTCATGGTTGCCCCAAAGGTGCTTTTTCAAGAGACAACTGGACTTTCCGGTTTTTCTTAGAAGACATTTCACTTCTCATCCAAGAAGCTTCTCCAGAAAAGTCCAGTTGTCTCTTGAAAAAGCACCTTTGGGACCTAGACAAAGGTTTGGTAAAGGAAATCTAAGTCCAAAAGAAGAATGGGGTGAAGAAAACATCTCAGAAGAGATCCTCCCTGGTTGTGGGAAGAATAAAACTAAGGAAGGAAATGGGTACTTTCAGATTTCTGGGTTTGGATGGATTTTACCAGTGGTGGCTTGCTATCAGTTCACCCCAGTTTGGGCAAACTGGTAGCGATGGCAGCAGGAGGCTCTGTCCATCTGCCCGGACGTCTCTGCGTATGCGCAGAAACAGACCGCGCGTGTGTGAGCGCATACATGCCCACGAGCAAACCAGTAGCGATGGGATTTGAAACCCACTACTAGATGTTATGGTTGGCTTTTTTTTTATCATCATCATCATCATCATCATCATCATCATCATCATCATCATCATCATCATCTCTAGTAATTGTTCTAACTTTTTGTAGTTTGGAATTATTTGACACTCAGGGCCCCTACGGATTAGGCTGATCTACAAGAACAGTCAATAGTCTAAATAAAAAGTGCCGACTAATTTAGGGTTCATGCACATTTCTTGATCTCATTATCTCAGTAGCATCCCCCTTCTGCTTCTCTCATCTGAAGGTACTGATGGACCAGTGCCATTGCTAACAACCATCCCCCCCTCCCCAAAATAAACCAATATATATAAGCAATCTTTATTTTTTGGTTGTAGACCCCCAATGTCAGATGAGGTTTGTAAACTCCCTAATCCGCCTTTGGCTCATTGCAAAACATAACTTGATATAGAGCCGTGATGGCGAACCTATGGCACGCGTGCCACAGGTGGCACGTGGAGCCATATCTGTGGGCACGCGAGCGTTGCCCTAGCTCAGCTCCAGCGCACATGCACATGCAGGCCAGCTGATTTTGGGGCCTTCCGGGCCCACCGGAAATCGGGAAATGGGCCATTTCTGGCCTCCAGAGGGCCTCTGGGGGTGGGCGTGGGGGAAGGCTGTTTTTGCCCTCCCCAGGCTCCTAGAAAGACTGTGGAGCCTGGGGAGGGCGAAAAATGGGCCTTCCGGTCCCACTGTGCCATCGTGTGCCAATAGTAGGGAGAGTGCGGGGGGAGGGTGTCACACGCACATGCACTGTAGGGCAGGGTGCACTGAATTATAGATGTGGGCACATGCACGCACGGCACCCATGCACTCCTCCTGCTTTTGGCATGCAATGGCAAAAAGGTTAGCCATCACTGATATAGAGCATCTCAAAAGATGGCTGCCTGCCTTCTGCTGAGGGAACCCTTTATTCCCCAGTTAGGAAACCGACCCTACCACCTCACTAAAAACCACTCTCTGGAAACATACAAACATGCAAATGATATTCTTCCATCTCACCACTTAAAATAAAGAAGGGACAAGTGGTCCAGGCCAGGTAGAAGGGCCACTGATAGGAGGCAGCAGATGTTCTGCTGATGCCGTGCGTGGAGATCCGGATGGTGTAAATGCTTAGGCCGAGGAACACCAAGGCAGCTGCGGAAGCATAGGAAGATGATGAACTAGATTCCTTTGAGATTCTTTTTAAAACTTTTTTAGATTCTTTTTTTAAAAAAAATATTTTAAAACAAGGTTATCTGAGAAACCTTCTGACCTCGATGGGATTGACCCACCACTCACACAGGCAGAAGGGAGACACTGTGGACATTGGTCCAGGAATTCCAGCTGGGGAGGGGGAATCAAGGAGAAGAGCATTTCTGCCATGATTCCTGCCCTCTGGAACATTGTCATCCTGAGGTGAGATCTGCCCCAACCTTCTCAGTCTTCTGAAGGACCCTGAAGACTTCACTCTGCCAGCTGGCCCGGAGTTCTGATGGAGGTTTTCATACTGGAGGTAGTTAACAAATTGAGATAAGATCCACCTTCCCCTGTGTGCCTTTTGCTCCCTTCCTTGTCATCTTTTTTTTTTTTTTTTAAATTTGATTTATATGCCGCCCTTCTCTGGAGACTCAGGGCGGCTTACAATGTGTTAAGCAATAGCCTTCATACTTTTGTATATTTATACAAAGTCATCTTATTGCCCCCATAATCTGGGTCCTCATTTTACCTACCTTAGAAAGGATGGAAGGCTGAGTCAGCCTTGAGCCTGGTGAGATTTGAACTTGCAGTAATTGCAGATGTAAGTGGATGTTAATAACAGTGCTTTAGTCTGCTGAGCCACCAGAGCAAAACGATCTTTGTTAATTGTTAAGGCAATTTTAGTGTTAATGTTCATTGTCTTAATGTTTTATCTTGTTTTTATTGGTTGTAAGACTCCCAGAGTTGCCTCTATGTGAAATGAGTAGCGTATATGTTTAAGTCAGTCAGTCAGTCAGTCAGTCAGTCAGTCAGTCAGTAGTCAACTCTGAAGCGAACCTGGCTGGGGCCATTTTGGAGGCTTCAGGGTTGCCACAGTGTGAAGAAGGAATGGGGGGGGGGAAACACAGTTAGATGGGGGCTTGTAGCCAGAACAAAATTGTTTCCTGTGGGAACCAAGGTCATTCCAACAGGTGGAATGGAGGAAGAGCACCGTATCCAGGCAACCAGCCAGCACCTTGATTGGACAATGTGACTGTTTGAGGAAAGAGGAAACTTTCACTCTTAATCAGGTGAAAACCACAGGAACTTTCAGAGTCGGTTTTCACTGGCTTGTGCCAGTATGATATCTCCAATAAAACTGTTCTTTGAGGAACTTGTATGCCTCGGGAGTTATTTTTTCTATGGAGTTATTACTTGGAACCCTGGTGTAAGTAAGTAAGTAAGCAAGCAAGCAAGCAAGTAAGTATATTTTTAGTAATTGAATGCCCACCAATATCATAAATTTTTACCTGCGATGAAAGATCCCACGGCAGGCACCAGATACCGATATGTTGCAGAAGTGGCAGAATAGTGATAAGTGATACTCATAAATGATGCCCCAACGAATCCACAGAAAAGAGCCATTACCAGGAGGGTCTTGGCACCATTGACATTGGCTGTGGAGTAATGACAATAAAATAGAAGATTGCTTGTTAGAAGCTTTGAGAGCAGGGCTATTCTCCGTGTGTGCACACATGTTTATACACATCTTTCAAAATCTGAATTATGCATCAATCAAAAATGGCTGGACGGTAACAGATCATTTTATAAATCCATACCAGAAACCCTCTCTAGCCTTCCAAGATGCTGTATCTCAGGTATCAGAAGCGGTTATTGACATAGATCAGGCTCTTTCAAATTAATCACCCTTTTACACATTCACCAAGGAATGTGTGCAGATGTGCACTTTGGGTACCCAAACTGTAGCTGCTAGAATGCTCTGGAAAACCTTTGTTCATTTATTTATTCAATTCCTGTAGCTGCTCTCAAATCAAGTGACTCTGAGCGGCGAACAATCATAAAACAATACCACAGAATTAAATACTGTATATAAGGCAGCTGAGGAAAAAAGTGTCATCATGAATAAATACAGCCAGGAAACAGAGCCTTTTTTATGCTCAGAGTCCCAGGCCTAGACACAGAGTCAGGACTTCAAGGCCTTGTGAAAGGCCAACAGGATTGGGGTCATCCTCAATTCTGAAGGGAGAATGTTCCAGAAGGCAGGGGCTACAGTAGAGAAGGCACCTCTCTTAGTCTCCACCAGCTGACATTCTTTGGTTGGGGGGGGGGATCCATAGCATGCCCAACCAGGATGGACCAAATTGGGTGGGTAGAAACCACTGGGAGAATATGGTCCCTGAGGTAACTTGGATCCAAGGGCTTTAAAGGTGACAAACTAACACCTTGAATTACACCCAGAAAAACACAGGCAATCAATGCAGTTCAGGCAGAGGTTGCGTTACATGTGTCGAATATCCAACACCATCTGCTATCCTTGCACCCATATTTTGTACCACTTGAAGCAAGGTGATTTAGAGGTGCTCTGTGCAGAGACATAGAAGAGTTTTAGAAAGTACGGTGGAAGAACCCAACAAGCTTAAATAGCCACTTTGGGATGACTCTTGACCCAAACTTGAAGGAGGAGTTCTGGAGAAAGGGACCCCACAATTCTGAGAAGCAAAAGTTGTGCACTCTCTTACGTGCAGAAGCAACAAGATTAGGGCACACCAGCTTGAGACAGACTTTCCAAAGGCCACTGTAGTAAATCTGCATCTCAGTCTCAACTTTGATCCATTGATGGTTCATGATAACAAAAACAAGACTGAAGAGAGTGCTGAGGGTGAACACTGTAGCCATTCTTTCACTCCACGACATGGTTGAATTGAGGAAAGTTGAGGCCTTTCTTCAATGCAGATGTCTTCCTCTTAAGGCAAGCTCTTCACACCCAACCCACGTATATGGAGAAATGATGAGTTTCCAGACGGACATTGGAGACCTTACTGGAATCAGAATCTGCCCTTTATTCCTTGGAATGATGAGGAAATCACCATTCTGCACCATTAAACCTCAGAGCCTTCACACACACACACCATTCCAGGTTCCATCACTAGCTTCTTGGTTACCATGGCTGCCACTGGACATTCCATCAAATGATGGAATGTCAGCCAGCAGGCATGGTAAAGCTGAGACTGAATTTGTTCTTTGGTTTCCTGAATTCTTCTTCATAAGAGAGGTCTTGTTTTCCTATCACTTTTTCAAATTCGAGCTGCATTTGAATTTATTTTATTGAAGCTGGGTGGCTCAAGGCATTGTGGTTTATAAGCTCTGGACCTTCGGCTGATTGTATTCTGGGGAGCTCGGCAGAACAACTTTATATCAACCATTGCAATCCTTTGCATTCTTATGTGGTACTGCAAATCTTTTTTTTTAAGTTTTTATTTTTTTATTTTTTAACAAACATACCAATGCGTGAACAGTGTGGCACTTGGTGTCATACATTCTAATACAAACAAAACTAGTAGAATCGAACAGCCAAGAAGCAGATGTAGACAGAGATAAAAATCCAAGAGAAGAATATGGGAGGCAAGCCAAAAAAAGGCTTAGCAATTAAAGTATTGAAGTGGACAAGAGACGATGGATAGATGATTTCTCTTTGTTGTTGTTGTTCTGATTTGCTTTTCCTTTTGTCTCTCTTTCTTTCCTTTTTTAAAGGTAGGTGACATGACTAGAAGTTAGGTAGGATAGAAAGAAAACCTCTTTTAATAAAGGGTGACATGATTAAAAGTTAGAATAAGAGATAGAAATAAGAGAAGGGCAATAATAAGAGAAAGCATGAAATAATTGAATAATGACAGATTGCAATTTAATATAAATGTGTATCATTATGAGAAATATATGTTGATTGAATGTAATAACTATGATTAATTCTACTAGTTTTATTTGTGGTACTGCAATTCTTAAAGGTCTTGTGTTATCAATTTCCCAGGGTTTGATCCTCAAAAGAAGATAATTTCAGAGAAGCCACGTTACTCAAGACATCCAGAAACCTACCACTTCTCCAGGATCTTTGATGTTAATGAATCCACCCTCCACTTTTTCTTCCCCATAAAGTACATGTTCCGTATGAGTGGCGCAGTGGCCTAGAGGTGAAGATGCTCGCTTCCCACTCAGAAGGTTGAGAGTTCAATCCTAGGCAGCTGCAGATATTTCTCTGTCAGGGTGCAAAAGAGAAAATATCTGCTGCAAACTCCACATAGGCATCAGGAAAGGCATCCAGCCAGTAACCGTTCTGCTCCATTCAGTTGCCATGATCCCACCCCAAATAAATGGATTAAAGGGTTGTAAAAAAGAAAAAAAAATACATGTCCTGTACATCTGTAGATTGTATTTCCTTTGCATTATCCTTCTTATCTATATCTCCCCTTCTTTGTGCTGATTCCTCAGCTTCCATTTTAAGATTGCAAATAAGAAAGCTATAACTTGGGGACTTAAGGCTTAATATCTAAAGGAGTTTGGGATCTTCAGCTTCAAATATTTAAAACAAAGTCATCAACAGATGATGGAGCAAATATTATTTTCCACTTGTTCCAGTAGGTAGGGACCAAACTAAGGAGTATATATCTATATCTATACCATCTATACCATCTATACCATCTATACCATCTATACCATCTATATCTATATCTATATCTATATCTATATCTATATCTATATCTATATCTATATCTATATCTATATCTATATCTATATCTATATCTATATCTATATCTATATCTATCTATCTATCTATCTATCTATCTATCTATCTATGATAGATATCAAATTTATATATATTTAAATTTATATATATATATATATGATTCTGTGTGTGTGTGTGTGTGTGTGTGTGTGTGTGTGTGTGTGTGTGTGTATGTTCCAGCATAACTCTGGAACGCCTCGAGCAATTTCAACCAAACTTGGTACTCAGATGACTTACTCTCTGGAAAAAAATACTGTGGGGGTAAGACACTCCTAATACCCCTCGGGGTGTGTGTTCTGTTAAGATACAGCCTGTTGTATCTTAAAATGGCTTCTACTGTACTCCCTTAAAATTGCTTCTACTGTACAGCACAGTGGAGTTGCCATGGTAATGGCTTCACAGTAGTCCACAAGGGGGCTCCCTCTGGTAAGGGGGAAAATCCAACATTAGAAATTATGTTTGGTCCGGACATTTTCAACAAGGCTTTGATTATTCTTGAGGACAAATATATGTCCATGATCACCACTACGAGACCGACATGACGTACTTCACGCAGATTGTATATGAGAAAAGAACTACAACGTTGAACAGCTTAGTGCATATATCGTGGACAAGAAGCCACTTCTAAATCAATATCAGAAAAAAGCATACAAAATAATCATGGATCAGCTAGCAAAACAACAAGGTGGTATCATTTTACTTGGCACTTCTGGAGGCACAGGGAAAACATTTTTAACTAATTTAATTCTCACCGAAATCAGGGCTCAGGGTTATGCTGCTCTTCCTGTTTAATACAGGATTGGGATAAATAAATACCCGGGAAATGCCGGGTTATCAGCTAGTTTTAAATAAACAGGAACGATGCACTGATAGCTTGAGTTATTCAGGTGATTTGCTGCTTCTGGTTTGAAGGAGGAGCCTTCCTTCCTTCCTTCCTTCCTTCCTTCCTTCCTTCCTTCCTTCCTCCCTCCCTCCCTCCCTCCCTCCCTCCCTCCCTCCCTCCCTCCTTCGAAAGCAATACATAGAAAATAGCACTAGCAAAGGAACGCCAAAAAGTGAAGATATTAAAATTGCGTTATGTCTGAATCAGTTAAATAATCAAAAATATCAGTGCTACATGTGTGTCTGTGGGTGTGGGTGTGTATGTGAAGGGAGTTTTTATTTCAGAAGGAAAGTACAAGAGCTTAGGATTCTTCAATATGATCTTACTGCAGTCAAAAAAAAAATGGAAATGACTGCATTTTGTTATTTTTTAATCCTCACTTTATCTCCTCTATTCCCTTTCCTTTCCCCTTTCCTCCATTGTCTTTATTTCTATTTTATATTACTTCAGTGTACATTGGTGCCAGTGCACTCTCAGTCCCGTGTGTCCACATTCTTGAATCTTATGTTGTCTCATCCAAATTCTTCCTCTCCCGGATGTAAAAATGGGTGGTAGAGTCTTCCTCAATTGCTATCAGTATGAAAAGGAGTCCTGGGAGGAAATTGAGAAAACTCAAGCTGTTGGTATAAGTGGAGTACAATCATTCTGCAGCAATGTTGTGTTTCAATACATACACCGTGGCCCCTAGAACTATTCTCCTCTAACCAGGTGCCAGAGCACTTGAGAACGTACGTCCTTGGTGAGCTTCATGTTGATGAGGAACATTGTTGTTTCATTTCCTCATACCTCTCCCCCACTCCCCACCACTACCACCACTCACTCACCTGTGTTGTGTGGGGGTGTGATTTGCATACCTTTGGCTTAATGTAATGTTTCTGAACCTCAGTAACTTTAATAGGAACTTCAACTCCCAGAGGTCCCTAGATAGCATTTCACTGGCTTAGTGTGATACAGTAACTCATTGTTGTGATTTACAAATACGGCTCGTCTTTTGACTTAACGACCAGAATCGAGGCCAAAGTTTCTGTTGCTAAATAAGACATTTGTTCTTGAGTTTTGCCTCCTTTTATGACAATTGTTAAGTGAATCACTGCAGTTGTTGCGAATGCCATCACTCTGCTAAACAAATAATTCCCTCAACACTTGATTGATTTACTAAGTCTGCACTACTATTAATCTTCTCATCGTTGCCACCACCCATCTCCTTCCACTTATGACTGTATGACTGTAATTTTGTTACTTGTATCCTTACAATTTATATTGATATTGTTTCCCGATTGCTTATTTGTATCTTATGACTATCATTAAGTGTTGTTCCTTATGATTCCTGATGAACGTACACTGAGAGCCTATGCACCAAGACAAATTCCTTGTGTGTCCAATCACACTTGGCCAATAAAAAATTATATTCTATACCATATATTCTATGGTTAAGTAAATCTGGTTTCCCCACTGACTTCGCTCGTCAAAAGGCTGCAAAATATGATCACATAGCAATAGCACTTCGACTTATATACCGCTTCATAGTGTTTTACAGCCCTCTCTAAGCGGTTTACAGAGTCAGCCTCTTGCCCCTGACAATCTGGGTCCTCATTTTACCCACCTTGGAAGGTTGGAAGGCTGAATCAACCTTGCATGACCCTGGGACATTGCAATTGTCCTAAAATACGAATCAGTTGCCAAGCAATTTTGATTACACAATCATGGGGATGCTGCAACAGTCATAGTGTGAAAAACAGTCATATGTCACTTTTTTCAACACCATTGTAACTTTGAACAGTTACTAAGTGAACTGTTGTAAACCAAGAACTACCTGTAATAATTTATGGTTTAATCTTATAGGCAAACGTACCATACCGGCTGGGGAATTCTGGAAGTTGAAGTTCACACATCTTAAAATTGCTGTGGTGAAGACCCGGTGTTATGATGCACACCTATCAGTGGTGGGTTGCTCCTGGTTCAGCCCGGTTCGGCCGAGCCGGTAGTGGTGACAATGTGACATCACCGAACCAGTTCTCTTTGACTGGGAGCTGGGCCCTCCTGCCTGCCCCTGCTTTATTCCTACCTTTATTCCTTGTTTTTTAGCCCAGCTGATAGGCGCGGCAGAGTGGATTGCCACACCTCAGCTATATAGAAACCTAAAGCGCTTGCGTGGAGCGCAAGTTTGGCACTCGTGCGAGCGAAGCGCGTGCACAAAGAGAACCGGTGGTAACACCGGTTGGAACCCACCACTGACACCCATGTATGATTTACTCAGTTCCATCACCCATCCTGCCTACAAGTGCTTTTCTCTACAATTGTCTTTTTTCCCCAAGAAAATATCCATTTATTGGTTCAAATGAACCAATGCAACCAGCCTTCCTTTCACTTACAAGAATGCCACTGCCCCAATTAAATTGCTAAAGACTGGAGCTGCCATCTTTGTCCTAGCATTTTGCCCCTGCAGCAATAATCCATTCTAAGTATCAGTTCTTAACACACACACACACACACACACACACACACACACACACACAGAAATACACTTGTGGCTGTTGCCAAACTACTGCATTACACATGCTCACTCATTAGCTTACACCAGCAGTGAAATCCATTTACCTTCGCTACCAGTTCGGGAATGGCAGCACGCGTGCCTCTTCTGTGCATGCATAATGACGTCCTGGCAGGCAGGCAGAGCCTCCCGCCGCCAGCGCTACCAGTTTGTGTGAGCCGGATAGTTCAGGTTGGATTTCACTGCTGGTTTACAGCCATCTCTATCCATATGTCTCAATCCTTCCTTAACATTCTTTGCAGCTTTCAGCTATTAGATAGTTGGGTGTGTGAACTCACCATTCAGTAGGAAAAGGAAGCTAGCAAAACAACCCATGACAAAGCACCAGGAGATGTAAATTGGTTCAGTAGTATCCGGAACAGGATGACCGAAAAGTGTTTTGAATTTAAGGGACAGGCCGTACAACACCATCGTGATTAGTGCTAAGATTCCTGGAGAAGGAGAGAGGGAAAAGAACTTACGAGCACAATCTGAGAACTTCGAAGAGGTTTGAAAGCAGCTCCTTCCTTGCCTGACTTGCTGCCCGGGAGGCAGGAATGTCTACCCTCAGCTTCCTCAGAGCTGAAGAAGCTTCTTGGATGAGAAGCAAAACGTCTTCAAAGAAAAAAACCAGAAAGTCTTGGAAAAGCACCTTTGGGATTGAGGGTGTTCTACTTTTCTCCATCTTTCTTAGTAACCCCAGCTTGAGGGTGTGATACTTCTGCTGTGTTTTGGGGACAGAAGACCCATCTATATTTGCCTTATATGTCTCACCAAAGCCAGTGGTTACAGAACCAATGAAGCCAGTTATTCCAGCCGCGAGGAAATGGCATCCGAAAGCCTTAATAAGGTTTTGTAACCGTATAACAGAGTTGGAAGGGACCTTGGAGGTCTTCTAGTCCAACTCCCTGCTTAAGCGGGAAAGCCTACACCATTTCAGACAAATGCTTGTCCAGCTTCTTCTTTGAAACCATTCAGTGATAGACCACCCATAACTTCCAAAAGAATGTTTGACTGATTCATTGTTCCCACCGTCAGGGCATCTCTCCTTACTTCTAAATTGGATCTCTCCTTGATTAGTTTGCTTCCATTGCTTCTTGTTCTGTCTTGGACAATAGGTTTTGATACCATTGCAGAGACAGCATATCTACTCAGCGTAGGAAGAGGGCCATGTATTTTTCAACATCACATGTCAAAGTTGCCACGGTTTGGAAACACTGGTCTGTGATCATTTCAGGCAAATTCAAAAGATCCCAACAATCAGAATGGGCTTTTAACCCATTGCAATTGTTAATCCGTAAGGCACCGGGAATCTGTTTCATCTGCATCTGCATCTACATCCTCCCCTCTTCCAATCCATCACCCTCAATTTAAATCCTACATCAGTTGACCTATTTGATCATAGTGTAAGTTGTAGCTCATGGATATTTCTGCTTTTCAAAACATCTCTTAGGTGGAAAGGTGCCACCAGATTACAAGAACCTTATTTATTTATTAGATGTTTTATCCTGCCTTTATTACGTTAAGTAACTCAAGCGGCAAAGACATATAATACTCCTTCCCCCTACTATTTTTCCCACAACAACAACCCTATGAGGTAGGTTGGGCTGAGAGAGAGAGAGAGGACCCAAAATAATCCAGATGGCCTTCATGCCCAAGACAGGACTAGAACTCACTGTCTCCTGGTTTCTAGGCAGCAACCTTAACCACCACATCAAACTGGTTGTAACAGTTATAAAGTGCTAAAAATCTATTCGGTCTGAGACCTTCTCAGGCATGCTGGCTGGGGAAATTCTGGGAGTTGAAGGTCACCCAACTTAAAAGTTGCCAACGGTGAGAATCACCGCTCTAGTGTAAAAACCCAAAGAAGGAAGGTGGACACCACTCCTAGATTGTTCGTAGGATGGACAGAAGTCATCATAAATGGCATGGAGCCATCTCTACCTGTAAAAAGGTTGGTGAAGAGAGGCCAATTGGAGTTCTTTAAGCTGGGCTTGGTAATGAGCACGCAAGCAACTGCTATTAATCCAGAGATTGTGCTGAGTGACATTAAACTTCTGATCAAATGAAGGCTTTCTGGGGATAAAAAGAGGGCAAATGTTGAAAACGTCAAATACCATTTCTCCGAAAATAAGACCCAACTGGAAAATAAGTCCTAGCATGATATTTCAGGATGCTCATAATATAAGCCCTACCCCCAAAATAAGCCCCAGTTAAGATTGTCAGCCAGATGGTGCATTTAGTACCATATTTTCCCCAAAATAAGACTTAACCAGAAAATAAGCCCTAATGCGACTTTTGGAGCAAAAATTAATATAAGACCAGGTCTTATTTTCGGGAAAACACGATAGTAGGAATATCATGTCTTAGTATGGTTTAGTAGACTGAGGGATGCTGTGGTTTAAATCCATCTGAATACATAGTAGACAAAACTAATCCCAAAGAACTATAAGTTTGACTCCCACACCACTATATTCTCCATCTGTCTTTGAACAATGAAATCCCTTTGTTCTCTATTATTTCAATCTCTCCATCTTTCCAGAAAAGGTTAATTGGGGGAAAAAAAGTTTTCCCTTTCGATTATCTTATTTATTCATTCACATACAAAGAATTCAAGCATGCAGCTCAATAAACGCAGAGGCAGAAATATTGTTCCCAGCCACGCTTTGATAGTTCCAAACTATAGAGAGAATACTTTCTTTCCTAAATACAATGCTTAAAAACTCCTCCCCCTCTTTTAAAAACATGTCCATTTGCCCCTCACAAATTGTAGCTGAGTATCATGCAGCTGAAAAGATATCAGAACATAGTAATTTTACTGTTAGATTTTTGGTTCACAAAGTGATATGTCGTCATCTAATTTTGTGCTGCAATTTGTATTTTCTCTGCTCAGACGTTTTCCTATTCTGCGTAAATACCATGTTTCCCTGAAACTAAGACCTCTCCGGATAATAAGCCCAATCGGGCTTTTCAGTGCATGCATTAAAATACACCCCCCCCAATAACCCCCCACCCACTACTTACACGCATGCGCAGCTGGTCCCGCCATTTCCTCTGGTTGCTTGCAATGCAAACAACAGAGTTGAGGAGGCAAGGCTGGGGGGAGGGGAAAGGGGGGGAACATGCCCTCCCCTCCTTGTTGTTTGTGGCAGCTGAGAACTAGTAAAAATTCTGACTGGCCCCGCCCCCATCTATTCTCTGCCTCCCAAGTCCCAGCTGATCAGGAGGGAATGGGGATTTTGCAGTGACCTTCCCCTGGATTGGGGAGGGAATGGAGATTTTACAGTATCTTTTTTTTTTTTTAATTTGATTTATATGCCGCCCTTCTCCGGAGACTCAGGGCGGCTTACAGTGCGTTAAGCAATAGCCTTCATACTTTTGTATATTTATACAAAGTCAGCTTATTGCCCCCACAAACTGGGTCCTCATTTAACCTACCTTAGAAAGGATGGAAGGCTGAGTCAACCTTGAGCCTTGGAGAGATTCGAACCAGCAGTAAATTGCAGGCAGCTGTGTTAATAACAGGGTGCTTTAAACCACTGTAGTACCAAGGCTCTTGGTACTGAATCTTTCCCCTGCCCCGCCCACCAAGCCATGCCATGCCATGCCCACAGAACCGGTAGTAAAAATTTTTGAATCCCACCACTGATTGTAATCCATGTTTCCACTCCCTCCCATCAATCTCTAAACTGAACTTCCTACGGAGAAGACAAGGAGAAGGAATATGGGAATAATCCTTACTTGTTTTCGCAACAAGTTTCTGGCAGGTGTGGTCCTTGCAAATGTTCCAGAGACCCACATTGATGGGAGTTTTAGACTGGATGACTGTAAGCCAGAATGGAGAGAATAACGTGGTGAACAAAAGAAACAAGCCCACACAGGAAAAGATCCTGGTGAAAAACTGATACCGGAACAATAAGCTTGAGACTTCGTTGTGCAGGGCACCTTTGGGGAAACAAAAGGGGTGGGGAGGAAACACTTATTTATTTCATCATGACATTTGTATCCCTCCTTTAGGAGTGGTGCAGTGGCCTAGAGGTGGAGCTCTCGTCTCACAATCTGGTGGCTGTGAGTTCTATCCTAGGTAGAGGCAGATATTTCTCTCTCTGGGCACAATGAGAATATATCTGCTGAACAAATCTCTGCATTGGTGTCAGGAAGGATATCCGGCCAGTAAACACTCTACTAGCTCCATTCAGTTGCCCAGACTCCACTCTGCAAGGGATTATGGGGTCATTAAATGATGATGATGATGATTTGTATCCCTCCTTTTTTTTTCTTTGAGTTGGCTCACATCTATAAGAACATCCAAAAGTTGACCTGTACCTAGAACAAACCAACAATGTTCTTTTCTTCTTTACCCCACATTTCCACCAAATTGCTCCACTTTCTTAACATCAGGATTGGCCTGTCTGAGTAGCAACAGGCAAAATTGTAAAAGATTCCCTTGATGTCCTTCTAGTCCCAAGAATGGAGGATGAGATTGGAACCCTGATGGCATCTCAAAATTCTCTACCAACATTATGGGAGAGGTGGAATCTCCATGTTTTTCCAGGGGAAGGACAGATTTCTCTCCTCTTGGGAGCATAGGAAGCCAGTGAGATGGCACAAAACCAGAGGGAGGCATGCTTTATGAAGGATAAGCATTCACCCTCAACTTGGAGACACCTTGTAACTCAATGTGGGCAAAAAAACCCATATCCCACCAGTGAAAACAAGGTCTATGACAATTTCCCACAGCCAACTCGCCACATCCAACTCACCATTGGACAAACTCAGTGCAGGCCAAGAGTTCCACTAATATCAAAGAAATAGTGGAATAGAATCATAAAAGAAAAGATACAAAAAGGAGGGACAGAATGAAATGTGAATGGCAAAAACGAAAATAATTTTTAATTTATTTTAAATCATTAAATAGAATTGTTAAATTGTCCCCTAGCAAGTTGTCCCAACGGCGAGTTGTCTCATTCCAGTGAAAAACATCCCTACCTTTCTCCCCTTTGAAAGAAATTTTGAAATGTATGCTTCTATGGCCACCCTTCTAGCAGTGGTGGGATTCAAATAATTTAACAACCAGTTCGCCCAGGGTCAGGTTGGCTGTTGTGGGAGGCGTGGCCCATCCCCGTCCTCTAGCTCCACCACATGTGTGGGATGAGCCTCCCAGGATGGCCAACCTCAACCTGGGTGAACCGGTTGTTAAATTACCCTCCCCCCCCGCTATCAAAGTGGATCCTGGGCGTTGCACTGCTGTCAGGGTTCTGACAGATGCCCTAATTAAATCATGAGTCTTGAGCCAAGCTTCAAAAGAAATCCAGTTATTTATTAGGAGCTTCATGTCGGCACGTTCCCAAGTTAAGCCAACTCTGACCCTATGTAATTTATGCTCCAATTATGACCCTGTTTCCTCCCTCCTCCCAGGGTGTGTCATCAATCACATTCGCCAACAGAGCAATTTCATGGATTGTAGAGGTCACGCCCTTTCGACTACTGTAGGTATCCCTGGAATACAGCCTTGAGGGAGATAAGTGTGGAATGTGCATCTGTTTTTGGCTGCTCTGCAGTTTTGCCAGTTTCCCATTCCCCCCTCCTTCCCCCCCCATCCTATGGCAACTTGAGAGCAGGCCAGGGATGCTTTGCGAGTTGACAGCTGCAATGGAGAAACGGGCAATGGAGTGGCTGGCATGAGGGAAGGAGGAAGAGCAGGGAGAAGAAAAAGGGAAAGCAGCCTTCTCCTTCCTTCGTGCCGGGTGCTCCGTTCCCCCTTCTCCATTGCAGCACAGTGCTCAGGATCCACTTTGATAGTGGGGGGATGGGTAATTTATTTATTATTTATTTATTAATTCAACTTATATACTACCCTTCTCCCCAGGGGGACTCAGGGGACTCAATTTAACAACCAGTTTGCCTGAACTGGTGCAAACTGGCTAAATCCCACCACTGCCTTCTAAGCAATGAAACCCTGGGCAGTAAATGGAACAAAACCCTCATCAAACTATCCCCTCGCTTAATAAACCAACCTCCCCCCCTTAACTGAGACCCCCATAAAAATCTCCTATTTTAAAATCAAATTTTCATTGTTTCTATGTCACTGTTGGATGTCATCCTAAGCCTTCAAGAACCCCATGGAACCTAAGACGAAGAGGTATATCTCTAGCTTGGAGTCAGTTGAGGTCCTTTGTCTATTTTGCTTTGGACCAAATTGAGTAAAAGTTTTTCTTTAAAAAACTTCATCACTTACCACGTTCTTGGATATGCATCCTTGGCTGCTGGGAAACAAAAACCTTGGTTAGAAGACAGAGCTGGAGAATGTATTGCTAGATTTCAATTGCAATCTGTTTTAAAAATAACATCCCTTAATATCTTCAAATGTTTTAAATCATGTAAGAAATCAGAATGAGAATAATAACAGTCTTTGCACTGATTATTAGAATCAATTAGATACAGAGGTGGGCAACTATGGCCCTTTTATGACGTGTGGATTTCAATTCCCAGAATTCCTGAGCTAACTGTCAGCGTTTCAACGCTGGCATAGAGAGCAGAGGAGAGCGAGAGATAAACTCTGAAACTTTTGCCTGCCAGATCCCTTTGAAGTAGGGTTGTCGTGGAAATGAGGGGAGGGGGCACATTCCTGGGAGATGACGAGAAAAGGAGTCTGAAGAATGACTTGGAAGATAGCCAATGAGAAGCAGAGATTTGGGGATCGGAAAGGGAGGGATTGGGGGGCAAAAGGTCAGTCTTGTCCGCGCGGAGTCATGATCCGGTGGCTGTGCTCAATTAAAGAAAGATTTCCTTAAAGATTGGCAGTTTGGAAATTCATTTAATTTTGAGATAGCATCGCAGTCTGACACTAACATGTCTGGCTCAGGAATTCTGGGAGTTGAAGTCCACAAGTCATAAAAGGGCCATAGTTGCCCACCCCTGAATTAGAAGCAAGGATTATTGAATTTTTATTTGTTTTTTTTTTTTTAAAAGCCAGTTTAGTCCAGCGATTCAGGCACCAGGCTAAACACTGGGAGACTGTGAGTTGTAGTCCTGCCTTAGCCAAGAAAGCCAACTGGGTGATCTTGGGCCAGTCACTCTCTCTCTCAGCCCAACCCACCTGGCAAGGTTTTGTTGTGGGGTAAATAGGAGACGGCAAATGTGTTGGATATGTTTGCTGCTTCAAGTTATTTGTAAAAACAATGAAGGCAGGATACAAATGCATAAAGTGAATCATTAAAATAAAATAAAAAGCATCCGGAAATTAGTACACTAAATCATAATCCATTCTAAAAATGAAGGTCTTCAGCAATGCATGAAAAAAAAAGAAAATTAGGGGAAAAGTTAAGCCTCCCTTGAAAGAACAAAGTACAGAAACCGCCCAGAGTAATAAAGTTAATTATGGAGATAAGCATATCAGCAAACCATTCCACATTTAGATGCCACCTTAGTCTACGTCAGAATCAAATTAATTATGTACTAATACCATTGTTAAGACGGTAGCAGAATCACAAATATAGTTCTGCTTAGAGAAGGATAAGAAGTACACCTTTCTTCCGTACTACATGGTTCTTTCCTAAAAAGAAAAAGAAAATGAACAAAAATGGTGTTATTGATGGAGAACTTTTATGGATCTATGGTGGAGATCTTTTATGGAGAGGTCTTGGCAGCAGGGGTGAAATCCAGCAAGTTCTGATGGGTTCTGGAGAACCGGTAGCAGAAAGTTTGAGCAGTTCGGAGAACCGGTAGCGGAAATTTTGAGCAGTTTGGAGAACCAGCAAATACCACCTCTGGCTGGCCCCAAAGTGGGGTGGGAATGGAGATTTTGCAATATCCTTCCCCCAGAAGTGGGGAAGGAATGGGGATTTTGTAGTATCCTTCCCCTAGAGTGGGGTGGGAATGGAGATTTTGCAGTATCCTTTCCCTGCCACGCCCACCAAGTCACGCCCACAGAACCGGTAGTAAAAAAAAAATGGATTTCACCACTGCGTGGCGGTCCATCTGTAGAGAACAGAACCAAAAAGATTCAGAGAGAGAGAGGGGGGGGGAGAGGGAGAGAGAGAGAGAGAGGGAGAGGGAGATACCTCTGGGCATCAGCTTTTTGGGTAGGAAACCCTGAGAAAAACACGGGTTAAGATTGACCATCAAAAAGATATATTCCAAAAAGCAGAAGGACTTGGGTTGGCGATGGAGGTGGCCCTGGGTCCCTCCATCCTTGGTCTTTGTTCCTGCAGGGAAGAAGATTCTCTGACAGTTGGAGGCTGTGACTCTGTGGAGCCATGGAACAATTGTGATGTTTTGATTCAGACTGTGACATGAAAGTAAGCCAGCCAATAGATATGGAGAAGGAGCCGAGCAAGGAGTTGTCCTTGTTTTTGAATTTCAAGCTCAGTTGCTGGGCGGTGGGGTCGAGGGCTTGCGTTGCTTCTCCAAACTAGCTTGATCTGAGATGCCTCCAAAGGGACAGCAGTTTGAGAGACGTAATATTTGCACCGGCTGCTGGTCTGACATTGTAAGTCCAACAAAGAAAATGGCACACTGGATCTGTAACAGAGGTTGGTAACCTAGCAGCCCTCCAGCCCCAAGCTACCTGGGATCTCACATCACAGGGGGTGGGGCGAGGGCTAGGCCTAACTTTAAAAACACTTTGAGAAAGTATACCAGCTCTACCTTTATTGAGAGGTTTTGCAGTACCAGAATCTTGCCGATCTGAAAGCCCTTACCTCCTCTCTACCTTTACTTTCCAGAGAACTAAGGACGGCCCCATCTGAGATATGTTCTCCACCCTCTTCCTTCCTTTGAACTCAGCTTCATTTAGCAGAATGTTGCCTACTCTGTGGCTTTTCCTCCTGTCTCCCAAGGTTCTTCTCACAGCTCATTACATATAGGCATGGAAGTCACCCTTTGCTGTGGCCCGCCAGCAGCCAGCGGAACTGGCAGCAGATTCAGACAGTGAGGAGGTTGGGGAGGAACATGGGCCAGTCCTGGAGTCTGGGGAAGGGGTCTGTGTCGGAGGCAGAGAGGGGGCCAGGGCTGTATGCCCGTTATCAGCTGCCTTCGGAGTCAGACATCAATGAGGCAGACAAACAGCTGGAGCCTGTTCCCAGTGTGCGCATGCACAGAGTTGCCAGACGAAGGGAACAACTAAAGAACACGGGTCGACTTGGGAGTAAGGCCACAGGTGGACAATGAATGGCCCCTCCCAGAGGGAATAAAAGAGGAGCGAAAGGGGAGGGGAGTTTGCAGGAGACAATTAGTTTATTACTGCATTCTTGTCAAGTATTGTCGGTTACAGTGTGGAGTCTGAAAGATATCAGCCTGGCCACTCTCCAAGCCTGATAAAGGTCGATAATTGTGAACTATCTTGAAAGACTGTGGGAGAAGAAAGACTTTGCTGGAGAGGAATTCTCTGTAAATTAAATAAAAGGGTTTTTGGTCAGGACGAGGACTCGGCTTCGTGGTTTGGGGAAGCCTAGGTCAAAACACCTTTCCCTCCATCTTTAGGAATTCTGGGTTACTAACAGATCCTGCCCTGTTTTTCTCACCTGTATTCCTACACTCTTTCCAAGAGGGGGGAGGAGGTTGTCAAATCGGCTGAAGGATCTGCCTGTAATGTCCAATAAGATCGCTTTGATGATGATGATGCCTCAAAGGCTAGGTTCTTTCTACAGGTCCACTCCAAGATCTGGTGGTCACCTTACTACCAAAACACTTACTGCCTGTTGTGCTGCATCAACTTCATGCTTCTTATGATTATCATGGCAACTCCCGTATGGCTTCAGCAACATTTCAATGAAGACTATGTTGTTATTGGGATATGGAGCTTTTGTGACGAGTCGGTCTGTAAAGAGCTTTTACTTTCTGAGGAAGGTAAGTGAGGCAGCGGTGTTCTGCCTGCCTGCTGGAATATGTTCCCATCGAAAGTTGCGTTAAACATACAGGCAATCCTTCACTTACAACAGTTCGTTTAGTGACTGAAAAATGTTAGTTACGACCCCTTTTTCACGCTCACGACTGCTTCAGCATCCCATGATTGATATTCGGATTCTTGATAACCGACTCATATTTATGACGGTTGCGGTGTTCCGGTTAGCACACGGAATCACCTTTTGGGACCTTCAATGGGGAAACCTGACTCACTTAACAACCGTGTGACTAAAATAACAATTTCAGTGATTCACTTAACGAACGGGACAAGGAGGGTCGTAAAATGGGGCAAAAGTCACTTAACAAATTTCTCACTTAACTTTTGGGCTCCATGGCAGCCGTAAGTCGAGGACTACCCGTCCTGCCTCTTTAATTCTTCATAGTGAGTCCTCGACTTACGACCACAATTGGGAGCAGAATTTCCATTGCTAAGCAAAGTGCTTGTTAAGTGAGTTGCACCAGATTTTACAACCTTTTTTGCTGTGGCTGTGAAGTGAAGCTCCACAATTGTTAAGTGAACGATGCGCTCATTAAGCAAATCCGGCTTTCCCCATTGACTTTGCTAGTTGGAAGCCAGCTGGAAAGGTTGCAAATGGAGAGAGAGGAAGGGAAGAAAGGGGAAAGGAGGGAAAGAAAGGACAGGGGAGAGAAGTAGGAGAGAAGGAGAGAAGGGGGGAAAAGAGGGGAGGAGTGGGGGAAAAGAAGGGGAAGTAGGAAAGAGGAAGGAGAGGAGGAGGAAGAAAGTAGGACAGGAGAGGAGGTAGGGAAGGGAAGGGAAAGAAGAAGGAGAAATGGGGGAAAAGAAAGGGTAGAAGAGCAACCCCGAATACAATGAAAATGTCTCATTATGCTCTCTTTAAGAAAATATGTATATGCATGATTAATTATGTATAAGAGAATGTACATTTACATTATTTGTATAAGAAATAAAAATTTTAAAAAATTTCAAAAAAAAAAAAGGTTGCAAATGTTGATCAAATGACCTCAGGATCCTGTAACCTTCGTAAATACATGCTGGTTGCCAAGTACCCAAATTTTGATCACATCACCATGGAGATGCTGCAAGGTGTCTATGACAATTCACCAAAACCCCACAGCCAACTCCTCATGGCCAACTCACCATGGCCAACTCACCATGGCCAACTCAACCATGGCCAACTCACCATGGCTAACTCAGAGGTTAATGAGAATTGTAGAATTGTAATCCTGGGTTTTAGTGCAACATCGATGGGGGGCAGGTTGGCCGACATATTTTACTGGGAGATTTTAAAGCAAAAGATGACATTGAAAAAAGAATTCCGCTTCAGAATTCTTCAGCTGATTTGGCCGTAGGTGAAAATTCTGGTAAATTTACCAGATTGGAGAAGGCGGAAATGGATTAATTAGGCATTTCAGTTTTTGAATAGAATAGAATAGAATTCTTTATTGGCCAAGTGTGATTAGACACACAAGGAATTTGTTTTCGGTGCGTAAGCTCTCAATGTACATACAACAATAGTGATAAGCAACAAAGTTATAGTCATAAGAAGTTAAGGAGATGGGTAATAGGGAAGAGGAGAATAATGATGGGAATACTGCCTTTTTAGATAGTTTGACAATGTTGTGGGAATTAGTTGTTTAGCAGAGTGATGGTGTTCGGGAAAAAACTGTCCTTGTGTCTAGTTGTTCTGACGTGCAGTGCCCTATAGCATCGTTTTGAGGGTAGAAGTTGAAGCTGTTTATGTCCAGGGATCTGTAGATATTTTAACAGCCCTCTTACTGTCTCGTGCAGTATACAGGTCCTCAAATGTAGAGAGTTTCAGCTTCACGGTACCAAGAGTTTACTCTGCATGTTCTAAATCCCAGGTTCAAATCTAGATACTGATGTTTAGTGAATTGATCGATCAAATGAATGAAGAAGATTCAAGACAAGGACTTTACCAGGGACAGGGAGTGGGGGTGGGGATTGAAAAAGTCAAGATGGCAGTTATAACTGTGTGGTCGAAGCTGCCATCTTGACTTTTTCCTTCTCTTTTTAGTCAGACCTGGACACCATTCAGAAAAGTGATGCTTCTACTAAGGGACTTTATTGGTCGTACCCAGAGGTCTTCAAACTTTTGGGGACCCCTGGTCTTACCTCTTCCTTTCTCCCTAATCTGCTACGGTTCACATTAAATTACTCTTCTTCTTCTTCTTCTTTCTTCTTCCACTTGGAAAAACAAATTCCTCTAGCCCATCTGGATACTATCCGATTCTTTTCGATTTTGTCCTTCATCTTCACCTTACTTGCCTTTATCTCATCGCGAGACTTTATATCTCGCCTCGTGGATACGAACATCATCGAAGACTTGATCTCCTCAGCATCGAACTTCTGTGCAGGTATGGTGTAAGCCAGGTTCCTATCCCCTGGGGTGATCACCTGAGGAAGATCTTAGAAATCACAAACCCTGCAGCTCCTGAAGCATTAATTTATTAATCAAATTTAGATAGCCGCCAATCTCACCAAAAGCATCTTCGGGGTAGTGCGTAGCCATCGGATAATAAAAACAACAAATGTGAGAGGGATCTTAATAGAATAGAATAGAATAGAATAGAATAGAATAGAATAGAATAGAATAGAATAGAATAGAATAGAATAGAGTAGAGTAGAGTAGAGTAGAGTAGAGTAGAGTAGAGTAGAGTAGAGTAGAGTAGAGTAGAGTAGAGTAGAATAGAACAGAATAGAATCTGGAAGGGACCTTGGAGGTCTTCTAGTCCAACCCCCTGCTCAAGCAGGAGAACCAGTCCTATACCATCTCAGAAAAGTGACTATCCAGTCTCTTCTTAAAAAAACTCCAGTGATGAAGCGCCCTTGATTTCTGGAGGCAAGCTGTTCCACTGGTTAATTGTCCTCACTGTTAGGAAGTTTCTCCTTAATTCCAGGTTGCTTTTCTCTTTTGTTAGTTTCCAACCATTATTTCTTGTCCTGCCCTCTGGTGCTTTGGAGAATAATTAGACTGCCGCTTCTTTTGGCAGCCTCTCAAATACTGAAATCATGTCACCCCTAATTCTTCTTTTCTTGAGACTAGCCAGACCCAAACCCTGAAGCCGTTCTACATATAGTTTAGTCTCCAGGTTTTTGATCATCTTAGTTGGAATCCTAGTAGACAGTCATTTAAATATGAACCAGTAGTGTGCAGCAGTTGCCAAAAAAGCCAATACAGTTTTAGGCTGCATTAACAGAGGGATAGAATCAAGGTCACGTGAAATGTTATGACCACTTTATAATGCCTTGGTATGGCCACACTTGGAGTGTTGCTTCCCGTTTTGGGGGGCACAATGTAAAAAAGATGTTGAGACACTAAAAAAGAGTGTGGAGAAGAGCAACAAAGATGATTAAGGGACTGGAGGCTAAAACATATAAACAATGGTTGCTGGAACTGGGTATGTCTAGTTTAATGAAAAGAAGGACCAAGGTGACATGATAGCAGTCTTCCAATATTTGAGGGGTTGCCACAAGGAAGAGGGGGTCCACCTATTCTCCAAAGCACCTGAAGGCAGGACAAGAAGCAATGGATGGAAACTAATCAAGGAGAGAAGCAACCTAGAACTAAGAAGAAATTTCCTGACAGAACAATTAATCAGTGGAGCAACTTGCCTCCAGAAGTTGTGAATGCTGTAACACTGGAAGTTTTAAAGAAGAGATTGGACAATCATTTGTCTGAGATGATAGTGTTTTCTGCCTGAGCAGGGGGTTGGACTAGAAGACCTCCAAGGTCCCTTCCAACTCTGTTATTCTATTCTGTTCTGTTCTAAAATGTGAAAACAGAAGATCTATATTTTAAAAAATCCATATTAATTCATATCATCAACAGGGAGGGTACAAATGGCTGGCTGGGAAATTCCAGGGGGTTGATGTTCATCCATTTTGATGTTTCTGAGGTTGAGAAATTCTGTGTTAGCCCAATCTGGACAAGCCATGTTCCTACAAAGTTTCATTTTGTGATATTATGGAAAACCTTTTTGAAGATCAGGTAGCTATATGGAGCCTTAACCCCCTCCCTCCCTCCCTCCCTTTAGGAATCTTCCTGTTGAGTTTGCTACTGATTGTACACTTCCAGCTTAAAACTGCACTTGATCAAATCGGGAAGCGTACCATACCTTGGTGGGGTTTCTTTGGGACTTGCCTCATCTGTTTACACTGTTTTGTCTTAGGTGAGTGCATCATATGGGAACTGTTGAGAAGTTTTATATCCAAATCAGTGGTGAAATCCAAATTTTTTTTACTACCGGTTCTGTGGGCATGGCTTGGTGGGCGTGGCAGGGGAAGGATGCTGCAAAATCTCCATTCCCACCCACTCCAGGGGAAGGATACTGCAAAATCCCCATTCCCTCCCCAATCCTGGGGGAAGGATATTGCAAAATCTCCATTCCCACCCCACTCTGGGGCCAACCAGAAGTCGTATTTGCCGGTTCTCCGAACTGCTCAAAATTTCCGCTACCGGTTCTCCAGAACCTGTCAGAACCTGCTGGATTTCACCCCTCATCCAAATATATTTTTACTCTTCGTACTGTTTCCATCTTTCCTTAAAGCATTAGCAGAATCCACAATGGTCCGACAAATCGGCGTCTCCGCTAGGTAATGAGTTTAGCTGAGCTAATTATTAGCTGAAACTAAATTAATCAAGTCAAAACTGCAGACGGAGGGAAATCCTTTACCCAAACCTCCTCAAACTCCCAAATAAATTACCCAGACTTAATCCAGGTATCAAAGGATAAGGTCTCCAAACACAAATAGAGCTCATTAAATGAGGCCTCCCAGCAGAATTCCATGTTCACAAGAATAAATATCATAGACATACCGACACACACACAACCTCTACACACACATGGCTCGCAAGCGTCACCCTAGAACCAGAGTGTCAAACACGAAGCCCAGGGGCCAGATCCATCCTGTAGGGCGCTTAAGTCTGGTCCGTGAGATCACCCTGGAAACAACGAGCCCATGGTACCTCTGCCAGCTAAAATGGAGCTTGGGAGGGCTGCAGATGCCTCCCCCCCGAGCACCGTTTTTGCTGGCAGAGGGCTGCAGGAGACCGTCGCAGCTGAAAATGGGGCTCGGGAGCCCATTTTCACTGGCAAGTGCTCGGGCCGCCACAGGCGCCCCCTGAACACGAGTGACGTTGAGCTGGCCACACCCACCCTCGCCATGCCCCCCCCCAAGGTCAAACACAACCCTGATGCGACCCTCAATGAAATCGAGTTTGACACCTCGGTCCCTGAATCAGCACCTAGACAGGACAAGCATCACTATTTAACTGTGTCCCTTTACCTTGTTTCTCTGCAGCTGCCCCTGAAGGCAAACCGTTTGCTCTCAGGCTATAATATTTCTTCTTTCCTCACAGTTGTCTGGATCTCATTTTATTTATTCTGATGCCATTTTCTTCTCCTTCTCCTTCTGTCCCTTGCTTAGGCACACTCAGTCTACTGAAATATAGAAGCTTGGTGTTGAAGCGTTTGAGCAGGCACTCCTCCGGAAGAGTATTGAGTACGGGCAGGATAAAAGGAAAGGCAAGCACCCAAATAACAGTAGTTCCGAGTTGAACAATTCCATAAATGACGGTTCAGCATTCTTGAAATGCAAAACCCCTTCTCGTTTCCCCTGCAAATTTCTTGGCCGCCTTTGTTTCTTCACTGCATTATGAAAAATAAACGTTTTGTTCTTGACAAAATTTCAGATCCTTGGCAATTGGGATTTGAAGGTGCGAGTGAGTGTTTTATTTACAGGCGATGGAAAACTCTGGATAGTTTTAAGCACTTTATTTATTTTGATTTTTGATAAGCCGTAATGGCAGGATGGGTCTGTACCAGTGATGGGTTTCAAATTTTTTTACTACTGGTTCTGTGGGTCTGGCTTGGTGGGTGTGGCATGGCTTGGTTGGCATGGCTTGGTGGGCATGGCAGGGGAAAGATACTGTAAAATCTCCATTCCTACCCCACTCTAGGGGAAGATTACTGCAAAATCCCCATTTTCTCCCAATCAGCTGGGACTTGGGAGGCAGAGAATAGATGGGGGTAGGGCCAGTCAAAATTGTTACTACTGTTGTGGCTCCGTTACCTGAGCCTATGTCATCATCAGGAGAGGACTCCGAGAGTGAAGGAGAGGAGTTGGCAAGGCCTCCCTCTCCAGGACCCTCCTCTCTGGCAATGCCTTCAGTGTCCGCCGAAGGGCAAGAGATAGGGCCGGGGCCAAGCATGTCCACGCAGGCACAGGTGGACAGTGATGAGGGAAATGAGTCTTGGCTGGATCCTCGGCAGCGTCGCAGAGATAAGCGCGCACAACAGAAGAAAAGGCATGCCAGAGATTAAGCTGAGTCACTGGACCACACCCCACAGAGTATAAAAGCGGGTGAGGTGGCCATTCAGACTCTGTGACGGACAAAACTAACTACTATCGAGTCACATTGCATCTTTGGAAACAACATCATCTGCCTTGGATTTATTTTACGAACTGGACAATTTTCGAACTGTGTGTATTTTGTTTATGAGTAAAGTTCTTGGCAAGCAGTTACTGGGTTGCTGCCAAGCTTCTTATCGGAAGAATTGGTTGTCTGCCAGTTTATTTAACCCCCGGCTGTCTGTTTGTGTGCATGTGTGAGACAGGGACAGAACAACTACTGGTTCTCCAAACTACTCAAAATTTCCGCTACCGCTTCTCCAGAACTGATCAGAACCTGCTGAAACCCACCTCTGGTCTGTCCAGTATTCTGAAGGCCTTGAACTATCGTGTAGAAACCACAGTAAGCTTTGCCAAAGCCAAACAAGCCACATTTTAATTTAATGGAGATGAAGAAAAGTTCCTTTCCATTTAAATCCATGTTTTTGCATCTTCCAATGTTGGTGTCTGTAATCGGGGATGGTTTGGTATCTACTGATCTTCACATTTCTTCTTCTTCTTTTTTAAAGAATAAACCACAAAATGTGTGCTAAGCCCTATGGATGCTTAACTTCACATTATTTAATCCTTTCCTTTTTGAGAAAAAGCAAGAAAAAGGAGAGCAAGGCTTGTGATGAATAACAGCCCCATGGATTGCAAGGAGAACCATTCCGTCCTGCATGAAATAAAGGCTGATCTCTACCTTGAGATAGCAATAGCAATTACACTTAGACTTCTATACCTCTTCACAGTGCTTTTACAGCCCTCCCTAAGCAGTTTTACTGAGTCAGCTTATTGCCCCCAACAATCTGGGTCCTCATTTTACCCACCTTGGAAGGCTGGAAGGGTAAGTCAACCTTGAACCTGGTGAGATTTGAACTGCCAAATTGCAGGCAGTCGGCAGAAGTAGCTTGCAGTACTGCACTCTAACCACTGCACCACCACCGCTCGAGATAATGATTTGCAAGGAGAAACCCACATACGTTGGGCCTGAAGCAGTGCACTTCTTCCTGGATTTTAGCATGTATCTAATCCAAACCTGTAACAGTCAAACTTTGACTGAATTTTCAGCAAGAATGAAGGGGGCATGGCCTTAGTTTCACTCTCTGTTGGTTCCTTTGCCAGAGGAGATCCCATGATGAATTTTAAGCAGGAATGGGACATTCTGTCCATTGTAGGAATTTTTTGAGAGGTTGGTTGAGAGTGAAAGGATCAAAGTTACAAGAGGTTACATAAGACAATGAAGGAGTAGCCAGAATTCTAGAGTTTGAAGTTGCCCATTAGACCATTGATTCCAGTCTTCTACCCAATGCAGGAATCCAAATCAGTGGTGAAATCCATTTTTTTTTACTACCGGTTCTGTGGGCGTGGCTTGGTGGGCGTGGTGTGGTGTGGCTTGGTGGGCGTGGCAGGGGAAGGATACTGAAAAATCCCCATTCCCTCCACATTCCTGGGGGAAGGATATTGCAAAATCTCCATTTCCACCCCACTCTGGGGCCAGCCAGAGGTGGTATTTGCTAGTTCTCTGAACTGCTCAAAATTTCCACTACCAGTTCTCCAGAACCTGTCAGAACCTGCCGAATTTCACCCCTGATCTAAATTAAATCATCCCTAGTTGATGGTGCCCAGTCTTTGTTGGCACACAACCAATGATCAGAAGACATTCATTCCTTAAAAGCCATTGATTCCGTTGTTTATGTTAGGTGGTTTTTCCTAACATTCAAATGGAATTTGCATTGTTGTGAATAAATTCACTGTAATTTTGCTGTTTGCTGGTTATTTTAGAAGTCAAGATATTGCTGAATGAAAGGGCCAAGCTTGGTATTTCTTTTCCTGGATGCATTTATTTCAAGGGGGCCAAATTTATTTATACTGTATTGCATGTTATAGTCACAATCTGCCATAAAACAGAATTGAGAGTCCGAAATATATTTGTTAGTCTACAAATCCACATCAGTTTGGATGGGATTTTTTCCCCCAATCTGTGCCATTTATCCTGGTTTATATGTAACTAGTGAAATTCACCCGCATTCACCTCAGGAGCCTGAGTGGCGTAGGAGGCTAATGCCTCCTACTAAGGCAGCATTTAACATCCAGCTGCCTGCAATTACTGCGAGTTCAATTCTCACCAGGCTCAAGGTCGACTCAGCCTTCCATCCTTTCTAAGGTGGGTAAAATGAGGACCCGGTTTGTGGGGGCAATAAACTGACTTTGTATAAAATATACAAAAGTATGAAGGCTATTGCTTAACGCATTGTAAGCCGTCTCCGGAGAAGGGTGGCATATAAAAATAAATAAAAATAAAAATAAATAAAAAATAAATAAATTTCCTCTACCAGCCCATTGAATTAAATAAAATAATTTGTTGCAAGCTTATTTTCAAAGGAGAAGACACTTTCATAGAAATTCCCATGGCTGGAATACATGACAAGATGCCTAAGGAGTGGTTTTGTCTCTCATGGTGGAAGCATTTCTTCCTCAATCCCTTTCCTCCCTGGCTTCTTAGATGACTATTAAATCAGACTTCTCCAAGAGGGCTTTTTCAGTAGCGATACTATCCTGTTTCCCCCAAAATAAGATCCAACCGGAAGATAAGCCCTAGCATGATTTTTCAAGATACTCATAATATAAGCCCAACCCCGAAAATAAGCCCCAATTAAGATTGACAGCCAGATGGGTGCACTTAGTACCATATTTCCACAAAAATAAGAGCTAACCAAAAAATAAACCCTAATGCATCTTTTTTTTTTTTAATTTGATTTATATGCCACCCTTCTCCGGAGACTCAGGGCGGCTTACAATGTGCTCAGCAATAGCCTTCATCCTTTTGTATATTTATACAAAGTCAGCTTATTGCCCCCACAAACTGGGTCCTCATTTTACCTACCTTAGAAAGGATGGAAGGCTGAGTCAACCTTGAGCCTGGCGAGATTCGAACCTGCAGTAATTGTAGGCAGCTGGTCTTAATAACAGGGTGCTTTAGACCACTGTACTACCAAGGCTCTTGGAGCAAAAATTAATATAAGACCTGGTCTTCTTTTCGGGGGAAACACGGTACTATTGCTACACTTTCCTAACACTGAGGACAATTGAAAATAATATACTCTCCTAACAGTGAGGACAATTAACCAATGAAACAGCTTGCCTTCAGAAGTTTTGGGTGTTTCATCACTGGAGGTCTTTGAGAAGAAACTGGACAGCCACTTGTCTGGAATGGTCTACTCTAGGGCTGTGATGGGGAACCTATGGCATATGTGCCCGAGGTGGCGTGCAGAGCCATCTTTCCGGGAACGCGAGCTGTCGCCCAACTCACCTGCAGCTGCGCATGAGCGTACGCCTCAGCTGGTGTTTGGGCTTCCGGTGCGCACAGATGGTGTGTGATTGCGTGTGCAGCACATGGGGAGCCGTGCGAAAGTCGTGCACATGCGCAGGTGGTGTAGTTGCATGTGCAGCACCCAGTGGGGTACACGCAAAAGCCATGTGCATACATAGATTGTGCGGTGGCACGCGCAGCACACGGGGGAGCAGCCGCACGTTAGCGCGGATGGCACGCACACACACAAAGCACAAGAAGCGCGTAGCTGTTCGGCACTCAGTGAGTAAAAGATTCGCCACCTACGGATTTGGTCTAGAAGACCTCCAAGGTCCCTTCCAGCTCTATTCTGATTGATTGATATCAGAAGGGGAACCCTGCCCTTCTGAAATCAGTGGACTATTTCTCCTCTTTCTGCAGAAATTTAGAGGAAATTGTCTCCAGTTTTCTGCCCCACCCCCCATGACTTTTGAGCCAAGCTGTACATGAAAGTTGGCTTCCTTGCTTGCACTGGAACCAGAGATTTCTAAGTCCAAGCAAGAAGAGATAATAGTAGTGGTGATTCTATGTCTGTCTGTTTGTCTGTATAGAACCTGTGAGGTCACTGCAAATCTCACAAAGGTAAGCATGGAGATCTCATAAGGTTGTAACTGCCTACCTGAGCAGAGCATACAAAAAAAGAAGGTTGGGTGATAACAATTATTATTTGATGCTGAGAGTCAGATATTATGCCAGAAGACATAATGGTAAGTAAAATGTGTTTTCTAAGTCACAATAGCCTATGGCCATTACTATTACTATTTATTTCTATTTAGTAATAGCACTAGCACTTATATATCACTTCATAGTGCTTTACAGTACTCCCTAAGTGGTTTACAGAGTCAGCCTATTGTCTCCAACAATCTGGGTCCTCATTTTACCGAACTTGGAAGGATGGAAGGCTGAGTCAACCTTGAGCCGATAAGAATCGAACTCCTGGCAGTGGGCAGAGTTAGCCTGCAATACTGTATTCTAACCATTGCGCCACCAGAGCTCTTTGGCAAGAGCCAAATGAAAGGAGGCTAAGATACATGTTGAGGAGGAGGAAGAAGAAGGAGGATAGATAGATGCAGATTAACAGAGTTGCACGGGATCTTGTAGGTTATCTAGTCCAACCCCCCACCCAAGCAGGAGACCCTACACCATTTCTAACAGATGGCAGTCCAATCTCTTCTTGAAAGCCTCCAGGGATGAAGCTCCCACAACTTCTGAAGGCAAAGCAGTTCCATTGGTTGATTGTTCTCACTGTCAGAAAATTTCTCCTTATTTCCAGGTTGAATCTCTCTTGATCAGTTTCCATCCATTATTCCTTGTCTGGCCTTCAGGTGCTTTGGAAAATAGCTTGACCCCTTCTCTTCTCTAGACTAGCCATGCCCAGTTCCTGCAACCATTCTTCATATGTTTTAGTCTCCAGTCCCCCAAATCATCAGAACAAGCTCCTGACAAGATTTAGCTGGCTAAAGCACAAAAAGCTTTAATTCACAATTTCAACACTTTCTGACAGATCCTACAAAATCTCTAAATGCTTCAAGGTCATTGATCCAACGATTCATGTTTGACTTTCTTGTTTCTGCAGATCCTCCCTTCTAGAAGAATTGTCTACCACTTGTTCTGCTTCCTCAACTTCATGATTGTCCTGATAGTCATTTTAACTCCCTTTTGGCTCTGGAATAATTTCAGGAATGAGTTTGTCTTTATGGGGCTGTGGCTCAAATGCAATAACTCCGGTTGTCGTAAAGTGTCTTTGGAAAATGGTAAGGCACGCGGCTACTTTTGATCAAATTCAGTAATCTGTCTAATTGAGTTGGACTGTAGTCTGGATTCCCAGGAGGGAAAGATTACAGTCCAGAGGGTGAAGAACAGAGGTGGGTTTCAGCAGGTTCTGACCAGTTCTGGAGAACTGGTAGCGGAAATTTTGAGTAGTTCGGAGACCCGGTAAATACCACCTTTGACTGGCCCCGCCCCCATCTATTCTCTGCCTCCCGAGTCCCAGCTGATTGGGAGGAAATGGGGATTTTGCAGTAACCTTCCCCTGCAGTGAGGTGGGAATGGAGATTTTACAGTATCCTTCCCCTGCCATGCCCACCAAGCCCACAGAACCAGTAGTAAAAAATTTTGAATCCCACCACTGGTGAAGAACAAACATACATACAAAAGTATGAAGGCTATTGCTTAACGCATTGTAAGCCGCCCTGAGTCTCCGGAGAAGGGCGGCATATAAATCAAATAAAAAAACAAACAAACAAACAAACATAGAATAATAGGTTTGAAAGGGACCTTAGAAGTGCCTGTACCCCCAAAATGCAATGCACAACCCCCATTCATGTGCCCTGCCCCTGTGCATGTGCATGTGTCCCCCGTGCATGCATGCATGTCCTCCGTGAATGTACCCCGGGGCCCCCCACACCCCATTCTGGCTTCCAGGTTGGTGTAGGAGGCTTTCCAGGCTCAAAATGGGGGACGGGTGTGTGTGTGAGGCCCCCTCATGCCCTGTTTTGAGCCTGGAAAGCTTCCTGCACTAACTTGCACCCCCCTGCGTATGCGCCCTGCCCCCTTGCATATGTGTGCACGCGTCCCCCGCATGCACCCCGCGCCCATGCATGCACGGCAGAGACCCAAAGATCAACTGCCTGGCGGGAGGCGCGTGTCATGGTTCGAAGTCGTCTCAAAATAAATCGCACTTCAGCCAAGTTCTTTATGAAAACCCATTCATTTATTAGCACGACATTCTGTTCCAAAACTCATTGCAGCCAGCAAAGAGTTCCTGCTCCAAAACCCTTCCCTTCCTGGCTTGCTCTCCTGTTCTGATTGGCCATCTTCCACGTCATTCCACTCCTATCTACTAACTAAGCTCACGGGAATTCCCACCCCTCCCATCTCATCTCCTAGGGAATAATCTCTCCAGGGAATTAACTGGGTGAAGTGTCAAACGGTCTCTTGCCAGATGCTTCCCCTTCTTCTCTATGTCAGCCCCGAACGAAATGCAGCTTGAGTGGCTGACATCGTGTGTGCATGCGTGGTGGAGCTGGGCTGGGGCGACGGCTGGTGAACCTATGATCATTGCGACTGATGCCATGTCCCTCTTAATCCTTCTCTTCGTTTGACTAGACATACCTAGTTACCTCAAGCGTTCACCATATGGCTTAGCTTTTGTGACTCCTTATCATCTTTGTTGCTCTTCGCTCCAGACTTTCTAAAGGTGTTCAAAGGTTGCAGGCGTCATATCACCCAAAGAGAGTTTAGCGGAGTTATTTTTACTTTGGAGAAAAACACTTAGCTACCCGCAAGCTAAAATACTGAATTTGGAGCTTATTTAGTTCACAGGTAGCAAATATTTAAAATGTACCAATTTTGTTGCTGAAACATGGCGGAAAGAGCTTTGGAAGCCAATCGGGAGGGAGGATAATATATGTGGCATGTGATGTGCGCCAGTGGTGAAATCTAATTTTTTTTTTACTACCGGTTTTGTGAGTGTGGCTTGGTGGGCATGGCATGGCTTGGTGGGCGTGACAGGGGAAGGATACTGCAAAATCCCCATTTCCTCCCCACTCCTGGGGCTAGCCAGAGGTGGCATTTGCCGGTTCTCCAAACTACTGAAAATTTCTGCTACCGGTTCTCCAAACTGCTCAAAATTTCTGCTACAGGTTCTCCAGAACCTGTCAGAACCTGCTGGATTTCACCCCTGATGTGCGCTGTCATTGTTTCTAGACCATTTTGGCTCAAGAATCCTTGATATCTTACAGAACAGAACAGAACAGAACAGAACAGAACAGAACAGAACAGAAGAAAAGAAAAGAATAGAATAGAATAGAATAGAATAGAATAGAATAGAATAGAATAGAATAGAATAGAATAGAATAGAATAGAATTCTTTATTGGCCAAGTGTGATTGGACACACAAGGAATTTGTCTTTGGTGCATAGGCTCTCAGTGTACATCAAAGAAAAGATACATTCATCAAGAATCATAAGGTACAACACTTATCATGCAATATCTCTTCCTCTTCAGCCTCTCCAGAAATGCTACAAAATGCCCGGTGGTTTTCACTATTGGCCTTCATCAGCTCTTTAACTTCCCTGATTTTATCACAGGATAACCTCAGCCAATTTTTTCAGACGGCATTCTCTAAAAGGCTGATTTCTACCATGGCTAATTTCTGTGCAGGTATTTGGGGGCTAGGGGAAATGCAATTAAACAACTCAAATGATTGTCCGTTCAGATCTCAGGTCAAAGAAAGAGACAGGAAGGTAAGCAGGGAGATAAAAATCTTACCTTAAGTAGATGTTTCAATTAGTGGACAGGTTTGATCCTCAAAAGGAGCATTAGGGAAATCCCCCTTTCAGTAGCTTAAAAACTGTTGCATCTGAGGACATTGTTGGTGTTGGGAAGCAAACAGCCTAGCCAGGGAGGGGAGGTTAAGTGCGGAGCTAGCCTGGAGTCACTGTGCAACTGCAAAAGGGCTAGGACCAGAGGTGGGATTCAGCCGGTTCAAACCGGTTCGGGTGAACTGATAGTTGCGACCTGCGGGTGGGCCTGCCCACCCACCCGTGAACAATCCCCTCCCATCTCGCTGTGTTTTTTGACGCCACACCAGTGGTGGGTTTCCAAAAAATTTTCTACCGATTCTGTGGGTGTGGCTTGGTAAGTGTGGCATGGATTGGTGGGCATGGCTTGGTGGGTGTGGCAGGGGAAGGTTACTGCACAATCCCCATTTCCTCCCCACTTCAGGGAAAGGATACTGCAAAATCTCCATTCCCACCCCACTCCAGGGGGAAGGATACTGCAAAATCTCCATTCCCACCCCACTCACCTGGGACTCGGGGGGGCAGAGAATAGATGTGGGCAGGGCCAATCAGAGGTGGTATTTACCGCTTCTCCGAACTACTCAAAATTTCCGCTACCAGTTCTCCAGAACTGGTTGGAACCTGCTGAAACCCACCTCTGCATCACACACATGTGTGGATGGCATGCACGAGTGAATTGCCATGTTTTGTGACGCGCAAGGCACGTACATGAGCGAAGCGATGGGTTGAGGGTGAGAGATTCATGGAAGGACAAAGCTCACAAGCTGGGACACAACAATTGGGCTTAAGCCATGGGCCAAATTTATACCCGTTCCCAAAGGCTTGGATCTTTTATTATTCAGCATCTAACCTGGGTAACCCAAACACTGTATTTGTATAGTGGGTGAATCAAGTCATCACATTAAAGGAATCACGTGCTTCCTTTGAGGATTTCCCTGTTAGATGAAGATCTGTTAGCTCTTGTTAACTAAGCTTTAGGTTTTATAGATCCGGGGTCTCCAACCTTGGCAACTTTAAGACTTGTGAACTTCAACTCCCAGAATTCCTCAGCCAGCTTTGCTGGGAGTTGTAGTCCACAAGTCTTAAAGTTGCCAAGGTTGGAGACCCCTGTTATAGATTGTATGATCCCAGCCAAGAAGAAGTAAGAGCTAAAATGGTGGGGTAGGAACATATGTGGACCAAACCTCTCTTTTCTTATCTTTAGGCATTTTTCTGCTACTTTCTCTGATGATTATCTGCTTTGGGATTACCCATGAGATCAATACAGAGGAAAAATATCTATCACCTTCCTTTGGTTTTTATATAGGTTGTGTCGCCTGTCTTCTGGCCTTCTTGTTAGGTATTTATTTATTTATGACATTATTTCTAGATTGCTCTGCTTCCAATGTTTAAAGGCAGGTTCTAATAATAGCGCTATGATCAAAGTGAAATTGGACCATCGCAAATCAAGAGAAAAAGGACATCACAATAAAAGCCAAACCAAAGCTCTGTGGAATAAGATGGTCTTGACTAATGTGCCAAAAGTAAGTTGGGTGGAAGATCCCTGCCTCTCACATGCCCTAAAGCAGGGGTGTCAAACTCAAGGCCTGGGGACTGGATTTGGCCCGTGAGGTGCTTAGATCTGGCCTGTGGGCCCACTCTGTAAACAGTGAAGGACTGGCCCGCGTTGCCTCTGCCAGTGAAAAGGGAGCTCAGGAGGGCTGCGCACGGCCTTCTCAAGCTCTGTTTTCACTGGCAGAGGGCTGCAGGAGGCCATCGCAGCTGAAAACGAAGCTTGGGCAGGCCGTGTGTGGCGTCCCTGAGCTCCATTTTTGCTGGCAGAGGGCTGCAGGAGGCCATTGTGGCTGAAAATGGAGCCTTGGCGGGTCACGCGCGGCCTCCCCGAGCTCTGTTTTTGCTGGGAGATGGCTGCAGGAGGCTGTGATGGCTGAAAACAGAGGCTGGGAGGGCCATTGTGACCAAAAATGGAGCCTCAATGAGTAACATTGAGCTGGCCACACCCACCCTAGCATGTTTCCCCCTCCCCGGCCCGCCAAGGTCAAACACAACCTGATATAGTCCTCAATGAAATTGAGTTTGTCACCCCTGCCCTATAGGTATGCCTCCCAGACCTTCACACCTTTCCCCCTGCATGGAAAGGATCCCTTCAACAGCTCTTCTTGAGAAGAACTCAATAGGACTGGCTGCTTCTGGTCAGAAAATATTGTCCTGTGAGGTACATGATTTTACTCTAGAGAAGGGATCTCCAAAGTTGGCAAATTTAAGACTTGTGGACTTCAACTCCCATGCTGACTGGGAAATTCTAGGACGTGAAGCCCACAAGTCTTACGGTTGCCAAATTTGGAGACCCCGCTGCTCTAGAATATATGACAAGGCTACATTGTGGATTAGGCAGATAGAACAGAGGTGGGAAAATGAAAAATTGCATTACCAACCTATACAATCCATAGGTAGATTAAGATAGAAGGTGTATATCAGGAGTGTCAAGCAGCAGGGAAATCAGGAAATTCAGACAGTTCAAACGAGTACAAAGACTTGTTGCAAGCTTAAGCTCTCTACAAGAATCTGAACTACTAACGATCAAGGGAAATTAGCAGGAGTTAAGAAACGGAAAGGAATTCAAGGTGGGCTGCACTTAGATATCTTCTGGGGGTGCAAGGACTCATGACTGATGATGCATTTGACCCCTCCCCCAGGCTCAGCCTCATCGTCTCCTACAAGGAGCACATCCAAACAGAGAATATCAAATAAGGTCCAATATACCAGTAGAAGAATCAAATAAAAGGAACAACATCTATCTGAATGCATGCTCATTCCAGGTAGCTACGATTAGTGCTAGAATCAAGATTCTTTTAACCCACCCACCTTCCGACCCACTCTTGATTTATCCCAAAATGCTTGTTTTTCAGAAGCTTAATGTTGGGTAATTAAGAATGAGAAATCCTTGCTGATTGGTTGCCAAATCATTTTTTTTAAAAAAAAAAAATCTATTGGTAGATTCACAGATCTGCTGCACAGATTCTCATTCTCCATCCCTCTCTTCCACCCCCACCCCCCTTCCAGGTATAGTTAGTCTCGTGCACCCTGTTGGCTTGTTTGAAGACAGCATAAACGAGACGACACAGAGAAGTTTGATGATTCCTGAGGGCTACGTTGACCAATACACACATTCTTTTTTATGAACCCAGATTAAGTTCTGGAGGAGCCTGATTGGACGTTGGAATTCTAACAAGTTCATTTCATTGAACCAGTGGGATTCCCTCCATTTGGAATGCAGGAGAGCTTCTGGGAGCCCTTCTTGGCACCTCTCGCTTTTGAATGGTCAAGGTCTTAGCAAAGTGTTCTGCTCCGCCCATCGGATTATCTACTCCATTCATAAAGTACATTAATTTCTGCACAGTCACAGTGCAACATTTCTGCCTGGAGTGCAAAATACCCTCTTCCAGAACAGACATCGCTTTGGAGCACTGCCTATAAATTGCATTATTAAAAATGCATCTCATTCAGTGGATGTCTCTCAATCAGAAAATAAGGCACAGAGTCGCTTTTTTGGGGAGGAGGGGCTATCTCAGAGCTATTTTAATTCTCATATTCTTCAGCAGTCCTGAGAGTTTCTTTTTAATCCAATTTAGTGTCTATGGAGATCAGCGATGAAATACTACCGGTTCGCACCGGTTCAAGTGAACCGGTAGTGATGAAAGCTACCGGTTCGGGCAAACCGGTAGTAAAAAAAAGTTACTGGTTCCTCTGAACCGATATTTCCGATGATCAGCTGTGCTGCGCAATTTAAAATAGCTAGAAAGCAGGAAATTCTGCTTTATAGTGAATCTAAATTGCGCGACATAGCTGTTGCCCCCCCTCATGGCGTTGTGCCCCCCTCACGGCCCATTTTTGGGCCCAGGAGGTTGCAGGGAGGCCTGCTAGGCCCAAAACAGGGTGTGAAGGAGTTACACGTGATTGCGCAGGAGTGGTGGGGGAAGCATAAGGGGGGTCATGTGTGCATGTACAGGGGGGCGCATTGCATTATGGGTGCCGGCACACACACACGCTTTCGCCCGCGTGCGCCCTTTCAAAACACAATGGGAAAAAGGTTAGCCATCACTGCTCTATGACATCACTGAGGCTCACAAAGGAAGGCATGGAAACCACAAAGATTCTGGCCTCTTGGTTAAGAAGGAGAGGGAGATGTGTGTCAGGCACTGCCTGAAGCTAGAAGGCACCATAATTTCCAGGCAAAGATGATTGTGAGTAAGAGGTTTTTGAGCAGCAGAAATTCTGTTTGATTTTCTTTCTGCCAGTGATGTACCAAGGATGTGGGCTATCCAGAAACCTTGGTCAAAAATCATGGAAATGGCATCTATGCATGCAAAATGTGGGGTACAGTTATTCCAGAAGCAGCCCCAGAAGCAATGCACAGCATCTCAATGACACAGTCAGCATCCTCTCAGCATCAGATGGTGGCATCTCCAGAGAATATCAGGCCTCATGTTAGCGAAACCTATCTGTTCTCATAGGCTTAGGGGTTATTACTATGGTTGTTAAAACGGCAATGATTAAATTATTTTTTAAAATGGTTGATTCGTTGGCACAGACAACACTTCCAAATTCTGAATGATTCACAACCTTTCTTCCTTGATTTGATTTTTATCCCGCCTTTATTATTGTTTATCAATAACTCACTTTCTGTCTATGGCCAACATGCTCATTTTGATCCCTCTTTGATTTAATCTATCCCGGAATTTTGTCAACTTCAGCAACTTTAAGTTGTGTAAGGATTCGTTCGACTCCCAGAATTCCCCAGCCGAGGTTGAGAAACACCAATCTGCCCTAAAGATGATATCATTTTTGTCCTGCTCAGCAGGGTGGTTGTAAAGAAAATTGAGACTACGTCATTTTCTGAACATAATTGTCCAATGAAAATGTCATGTGGAATGCTTCACTTACATCAGAGGTGTCAAACTCAAGGCCCGGGAGCTGGATCCAGCCTGCGGGATGCTTAGATCTGGCCTGCGAGGCCGCCCTGGAAACAGCGAAGGACCAGCCCACGGTGCCTCTGCCAGTGAATATGGATCTCAGGAGGGCCGCGTATGGCCTCCCGAGTGCCATTTTCACTGGCAGAGGGTTGCAGGAGGCTGTCACAGCCAAAAACGGAGCTTGGGAGCCTGTTTTCGCTGGCAGAGTGCTCAGGCCACCACAGGGACCTCCAGACATGAGTGGCGTCGAGCTGGCCATGCTCATCCTTGGCCATGCCCCCCAGAGGTCAAACACAACCCCGATCTGGCCCTCAATGAAATCGAGTTTGAGACTCCTGACTTACATGGTCAGGTGAATGACGAACTTTAAACGTTCATCTGGGTACTTGCGGGACCGCCTACTACCACCAATAGCCTCCCACTGGCCGGTACGCTCTCATAGAGAGGGGCTCCTCCGGGTGCCGTCAGCCAAACAGTGTCGACTGGCGGCCCCCAGGGGGAGAGCCTTCTCTGTGGGGGCACCTACTATCTGGAACGAGCTCCCCCCGGAGATACGGAGGATCCCGGATCTGCGCACCTTCCGCCGCGCTCTAAAGACCTTTTTATTCCACCCGGAGGGTCTGACCTAACTTTCTCCCTCTTTTTAAACAATTTTAATAATTTTAATATTTTTAATATTTTTAATACTCAAAGTTTTAAATTGATTGGGGTTTTAATTTGTCTGGGCCAAACTATTTAATTTGATTTTATTTCTGCTTTTTAAATTTTGTATATATGTATTTTTTGGTGGCTCTTCACTGCCCTGAGTCCTTCGAGAGTAGGGCGGTATATAAATCAAATAAAAGTAAATAAACGGACTGGCTTATTTTGAAGATAGGTTTTTTTTCCCCCATAGGAGTCTGACAAGATTTCCCCCCGGATCTTCCCGAAGAAGCTGCACAATATCCTGTCTTCCGTCAACTTTCTCCTGTTTCTAGTGACCACTTCAACTCCTTTGTTGTTAAAGTTTAAAATATACCACGGTTCTTTCATGAATGGATGGTGGACTGTTTGTGATGGGTTCGGTTGTAGTTCAATTGTGTCCTCTTCTGGTAAGTGTCCTCGCCTGTTCAAATATTGAACCCCAAATCACGGTCCAACTGCTTAGAACAGTGTTTCTCAACGTCAATAACTTTTAAACGTGTGGGCTTCAATGCCCAGAATTCCCCAGCCAGCATTCTAGGGGAATTGTAGACCGAACATCTTAAAGGTGCCCAGTGTTGAGAAACACTGATTTAGAGCTTATCAGACATGCAAATAATACAGCACAATGTGCATTCAGAAAATCTGAGCAAACCCTAGATGTGGCACAATATGAATATTAACTTTCTCACTGTTTCTCACTGCGCCACGGTGGTGCAGTGGTCAGAATGCAGTATTGTAGGCTAATTATGCTGACTGTCAGCAATTCAATCCTGACCGGCTCAAGGTTGACTCAGCCTTCCATCCTTCCGAGATCAGATTGGACCCAGATTGTTGGAGGCAATATGCTGACTCTGTAAATCACTTAGAGAGGGTCGTAAAAGCACTATGAAGCGGTATATAAGTCTTAAGTGCTATCGCTACTCTCATTGTTTCTATTTTGACTAATCCATTCTGACTTTCTTGCTCCTGACTCTAATGATTGTGACAAGCTGAGCACAGGTCATAGGTGCTCCCACAAAATAGCTGGTCTGCCAGAGGTCCCAAACTCCCCTTTGCCAAGAAACTGGGATATAACATTTCTATCCTGTCATGCAATTTTTGAGGCCTCTATAGTTGTTTCTGGAGGCTGGTGCTTTGCTTTGCAGCATGCCAGTATCCTATTTCATTTATTTAATTGTTTGATTTTTAATAAAATCAAGTAGGTCAGAAGCTTGGCTGAAACTAAGGACGTTATCTGTGATCATGTTGATATCACTACACCATTTTGTGGCCTATCAGGCTACAGTGGATGATCACAGCTCATGCCATAGTAAAGTACATATAGTCCTCAACTTACAACAGTTCGTTTAAGATAGACCTCAACTTACAGCAGTTCATTTAGTGACCGTTCCAAATTAAAACGGCACTGAAAAAAAGCGACTTATGACCATTTTTCACACTTATGACCATTGTGGTATCCCTATAGTCATGTGACCAAAATTCAAAATAGGGGGAGGAATGACAACTGGATCCAACAGGCGGATCGGAAGCTTGGCTTAGCACGAGACAACTTCGAATATAATTGTCCCTTTGAACATTTCCCGTAGGCCCTTTGATGGCTGCCCGAATCCTTTCTGTAGCTGCTGTTTTTTCCAGCTTCGTTGCTTTGATTTCTGCGTGGAGACTGCTGACTCGCTTGATAGGACGGGAGATAACCGAAAACCTGATTTGTTCACTGGCTCATTTCGGTGCAGGTATGATGTAAACCTGTCAGCTATGCAGGAATGATAAGAATCTAATCAGGAAATGGGAAAGTAACCTGTTCAAGGTTTAGTTGGTGCTCATAAATACTCAGCAGAGGTCAATACGGATGGGCCCCTGCCATAAGAAGTCACAAAAGGCCCAGATTACCACACTGAAAGTCGTCGTGCTGAAGGGAGTTGTAGATAAAAAGCAGCGAGAGACTATCTGTAATCATATTTTAGAGCAGTGTTGCCCAACCATGGCCGTTTCAATTTATAGAATTTCACCATCAACACGGGCTTGTTAAGCATTACAGAATAATGGAAGGAACCAGGGGTGAAATGCTCCCGGTTTGGACCAGATCACCTGATCCAGTAGCGATGGAGGCGGGTGGTTCGGAGAACTGGTAGCAAAAATCCCTGCCCCCCCCCCCTTGCCCAGCGGGGCCCCCCAATCATCAGAGGCTTTTTTTAATTTTTAAAAGCATTTTTTTCTACAACCTCTTCAGCCAAAGAGGTTGTAGAAAAAATGCTTTTAAAAGTTAAAAAAAAAACATGGCCATGCCCACTCAGTCATATTACCACCACCACCACCAAGCCACGCCCATAGAACCAGTAGTAACAAATTTTACATTTCATCACTGGAAGGAACCCTGAAGTTCTTCTAGTTCAAATCCTTGCTCAAGCAGAATAGAATAGAATAGAATAGAATAGAATAGAATAGAATAGAATAGAGTAGAGTAGAGTAGAGTAGAGTAGAGTAGAGTAGAGTAGAGTAGAGTAGAGTAGAGTAGAGTAGAATAGAATAGAATAGAATAGAATAGAATAGAATAGAATAGAATAGAATAGAATAGAATAGAATAGAATTCTTTATTGGCCAAGTGTGATTGGACACATAAGGAATTTGTCTTTGGTGCATAGGCTCTCAGTGTACATAAAAAGAAAAAGATACATTCGTCAAGAATCATAAGGTACAACACTTAATGATAGCCATAGGGTACAATGTATAGGGTACAAATAAGCAATCGAATCATACTAGGAAACAATATAAATCGTAAGGATACAAGCAACAAAGTTACAGTCATGCAGTCATAAGTTGGAGGAGATGGGTGATAGGAAGGACGAGAAGATTAATTGCAATAGTAATGCAGACTTAGTGAATAGTTTGGCAGTGTTGAAGGAATTATTTGTTTAGATGAGTGATGGCATTCGGGAAAAAACTGTTCTTGTGTCTAGTTGGTGCAGTGCTCTATAGCGTCGTTTTCATGGTAGGAGTCAATGGGGAGATCCAGGACGAACTGGTAGTGGCGGTGGCAGGAGGCTCCGCCCATCCTCCTGGATGCTCTGCACATGCACAGAAGTGTTGCATGCACCCACGAGCGCACGAATGCCCACGAGTGAACCGGTAGTGACAGGATTTGAATCCCACTACTGGTCGGAGTTGAAACAATTTATGTCCAGGATGCGAGGGATCTGTAAATATGAAGAGTCATTCAGGAGATAGAATGGGAGGCAAGAAGGAACATTGAGAAAGAAACTTTGGGAGAGCGTGGGGATGCTGGAAAAGGAATAGGAGAGCAGACATCAGCAATCAGGAGATGGAAGTTGAATCCATGGGCTGTTTATCTCATAAATGGCAACTCAATCCCGGTTACAATTATTTTTATTATTTGTTTTCTACCCCACCCCCTTAATTTTCTTCCTTTTTGCTTCTTTCTTTGTTTTGTACATTTTTACTGGATTGAAAAATTCAATTATTTAATGTGTGGATTTTAAAAAAAATCCAAATAAGATCAATTTCTTGAAGCAGCTTTTTGTATAATATAGACACTCCTAGTATGAACTCTGACTTCTCTTCTTTATTTGCAGGACTCTTCTTGCTATCTGCCCTGTTGATTACTTTCTGCAATCTTAGAGTCAAAGTTGATATATACAACAATAAAATGAGAACTTACTATGGTTTTTACATCGGTTGCTTTGTCTGCTTTCTATCATTCTTCTTAGGTAAGTAAGATTCTAAGTTAAGCGTAATTTTCAAGAACAGCCTCCCCTATGCCTGAAGAGAAAAGTTTTCGGTCAGTGTGTGCTACCTCCTCTGACATGGACACCAATCTCACAATCGATACAAAAGCTACGAGTGGAAAGATCCATGCCTGACATCAGGAGACAAGATAGAAAGACCTGCAAACAAAAATATATGATGCCATCAAAACGGTAAAAGAATTGAAATGGAAATGGGTGGGTCATATAGCAAGAAGAACTGGTGGCAGGTGGACCAAGGCAGTCATAGAATAGCAATAGCACTTAGACTTATATACCACTTCACAATGCTTTTACAGCCACCTCTAAGCAGTTTACAGAGTTGGCATATTGCCCCCAACAACAGGTAAATTATGTGAATCCCACTTCTGATTTAAGAGTCAGAAATTTAGAAATTAGAGAAAATACCTTTGGAAGATGAAGTAATAAAAAAGATTAACTTTGTTGATTAAAGATAGGGAAAAATCAGAATACTTTAGAATATGGAATTATTTCTATTGTTGGTTGGAAAAGAGGTATAAATAATTAATTTTATAACTATGTGTAAAAATTGGATGGCAAGAATATGGTTATAGGAATGAACTTTTATAGTGGTTTGGATGACGATTAAGATAGAAAAACTGTTGGAACAAGAAGAACAAAGTGAAAAGTGTTGAAGAAGTCAACACCGAGATGTCACAGGGGAGGGATGATTGATGCATTGAATGTTTGTTTGTCTTAAAAAATAAAAAAAAACTTAAAAAAAAAAGAATCAGAAATTTATAACCATCTCTTGTCAATCACTTAGAAGTCTACCAGTAGCTTCTTGTTTACCTTCTGTCTACGTGTGATGGATTTTACATTCCTGTTAATTTTTCCCCCCCTCCAGGCACAATCAGCCTATTATATCATAAGGGCTTGATCAAAGAAAAGGAAAATGGGATCTCTGACATAAACGCAGGAGCACAAAAAGAGATGGCACAAACGGACACTGATCAACCTACTGTATAATCTATGCTTGATCTGTATTGTTGAAGAGTACAATTACAGGCATCCTTTGGAGATCCTGCAAACTGCAGACAAGCTGCATGAATGGCTGTTTAGTCGACAACAATTTGGGATACTGAAGGCCATCTGAGAGCTGTACAAGAAGCAGCTTCTTGTTCCCTGCTCCACTCACCAACACTTCTATTAAAATTGTTGACGTGACACAAGATTATTGCCTATTCAGTCTTCATTTCTATCCTTAAGTGGATTCGTCCGTCTTCATTTCTGAGACGGGCCATTTCGAACACAAATAGATTTGCAATGCAAATGACATATTTCTTGGTGGATGTTTCTCATCTGGGGATGAAGCGGGTAATTGGCACCCAAAGTTCTTGAAGGCCAGAGGTTTCCTTGGAGACTCAAGTTCAGGTTGCTAAAGAGTTTTGGTGAGGGAAGGATTGGGATAGTTTGCACTTTTCTGCAGTAGCACAAAGAAATGAGCATAGAGCAGGATGGTGTCATTATGGCTTGTTCCAAAAACCATTAGAGAAGGCATCTATTTGTTTTTTGCACTTGACTGTAGCTTGCTCCTTCTATGCTCAGAAGTAGAAATATTATCAGTAATACGATTATTAATTATGTGGTTATAACTAGGCAATTTTAGTCTGAAATGGTATAAGGTCTCCTCCCAGAGCAGGGGGCTGGACTAGAAGACCTCCAAGGTCTCTTCCAACTCCTCTTCTCTTCTCTTCTCTTCTCTTCTCTTCTCTTCTCTTCTCTTCTTCTTCTCTTCTCTTCTCTTCTCTTCTCTTCTCTTCTCTTCTCTTCTCCTCTCCTCTCCTCTCCTCTCCTCTCCTCTCCTCTATTCTATTCTATTCTATTCTATTCTATTCTATTCTATTCTATTCTATTCTATTCTTTCTGTTTTGTTCTATTCCGTTCCCACCACTCCCCTATCCTATCCTATCCTATCCTATCCTATCCTATCCTATCCTATCCTATCCTATCCTATCCTATCCTATCCCAGACATAAAATAGCAATTGACACCATCATATATGTAAATAAAGTATAACCAGATTGTTGGGGGCAAGATGCTGACTCCGTAAACTGCTTAGAGAGGGCTATAAAGCACTGAAAAAGCAATATATAAGTCCAAGTGCGATTGCTATAACAGCATAATACAAAATAGAGCCAGTTTGGTATAGTGGTTAAGGCATCAGTGTAGAAATCAGAAGACCATGTATTCTAATTCCACCTTAAGCACAAAGCCAGCTAGCTGTCCTTGGGCCAGTCCCTTTCTCCCAGCCCCAGGAAGAAGGTAATGAGAAGCCCCTCCCAATATCTTGCCAAGAAAACCACAAGACTTCTCCAGGCAGTTTCCAAGAATCAATATGTACTCAAAGGTGCACACATCAGAGATGAAATCCAGCAGGTTCTGACAGGTTCTGGAGAACCGGTAGTGGAAATTTTGAGTAGTTCAGAGAACTGGCAAATACCACCTCTGGCTGGCCCCAGAGTGGGGTGGGAATGGAGATTTTGCAGTATCCTTCCCCCAGGAGTGGGGAGGGAATGGGGATTTTGCAATATCCTTCCCCTGGAGTGGGGAGGGAATGGGGATTTTGCAATATCCTTCTCCCAGGAGTGGGGAGGGAATGGAGATTTTGCAGTATCCTTCCCCTGCCACGCCCACCAAGCCACGCCCACAGAACTGGTAGTAAAAAAAAAATTGGATTTCACCACTGGCACACAGGCACACCCAACCTGTGACACTTCCTGGTTTCTTAGCGAAGAAGATTCCATGACAGTTAGAACTGGTTGAATGGAATAGAACCAAGCAATGTCGGGCTTGCTAAGCAAGGGCCATGGATCAGATCTGGGAAGAGGGGATTACGGACAGTATAGACCATCTGGATGGAGACCTACAGGTGTCACTCATTTTTTTAACCCCAAATTGGATCAAACGATACTCCTTTAACAGCCATCTCTTGGGTCATTCTTTGATGGCACATCGGAGCTAAGTAGAGGGGCAAAATCCTTGGAAACTTCATCACTAATATTCGGGGAAGAAGTCTCGTTTTCAACCGAGTCTTAACGAACAGTGGCTACCCGAGAAAATTATCACCTAAAATTATCCCCTTTCCAAAACCAACATGGAAGGCCAGGGGACTTAGTATATTGAAGGATACTTTTGCGGGACTCATTTAAACAATGTCACAATAATCTGCTCAGTGCTTCGACATGTCTCTGAGCAGAATTGTTTCTTGTTTAAATTTGAAGTGTTGGGTCTGGCTCTTTCTTTGTAGGTTTATTTTTCCTCACTCCACTTTGGCCAGTGGTGGGATTCAAATAATTTAACAACCGGTTCTCTGCCCTAATGACAGGCTGGGTGGGTGTGGCGTGGTGGGTGTGGCCAGGGGGGTCTGACGGGCCGCACTTGGCCTCCTGCACCACCCTGGGAGCAAAAACGGGCCGCAGGGGGAGACACACAAACCCCTGCGCCCCATTTTGGGCCTAGTAGGCCTCTCTGCAGCCTCCTGGGAGCGAAAACAGGTCGCAGCGGAGGGTGCTGCACTTACCTCGGAGCCAAAATGGGGTGCATGGGGACTCCTGGAAGGGGCGGGGCAGGAAGGGGTGGAGCCAGCCAGTAATTTAACTACCGGTTCTCCCAAACCGGCTGAATCCCATCACTGACTTTGGCACTTAATGCAAAAGGAAATGGTATCCTGGGAGAAGGGGAGTGAAGAGCTCCAGGGTACTCCTAGACATTTGCATCCGATTTCTTCTTATAATATCTTGGAATGATTTAGCAGGCAAATAGCCATGTTTAAGTTAGTGTGCGTTCCCTACCTCTGCTCTTTTCTAAAATAATACTGTAGTGGAAATGTGAGTGGGAGGCTTTAAGGTGACAAACAGCTCCTGTTTCCACCCTAAATCCTATTCAGAATATCCCAAAATCTCACCTCCAAAATTTGACATCGCTACTATCTTTTGGGTACTATCACCTGCAATGTCCTGGCTGGTTGGAGGAATGAATGGTGTCCCCTAACATTAGAAGACCATACAGGTAACCCTTGGCTTATGACCAGTCCCTTAGCAACCATTTGAATTTATAACAGACTTCCAAGATTACTTATGACCAGGTCTTGAACTTCCTACATCCAACCTGCCCTCATGGTCACAAGAGGGCATTTTGGGTACCACAAAAATGGTCATAAAATTGGGTCCAGTCACGTGATAATAGCAATAGCAATAGTCCTTAGACTTATATACCGCTTCACAATGCTTTACAGCCTCTCTAAGCGGTTTACAGAGTCAGCCTATTGCCCCCAACAATTTGGGTCCTTATTTTACCCACCTTGGAAGGATGGAAGGCTGAGTCAACCTTGAGCCTGGTGAGATTTGAACTGCCAAATTGCAGTCAGCCGGCAGGCAGCAGAAGTAGCCTGCAGCACTGCACTCTAACCACTGCGCCACTGTGGCTCACTTTACAGTCATCAAGACTTACAACTGCAATTGCAGGAGTCAGTTATGATCATAACTCAAGAAATGTCTGTATTCTTCCTTGGAAAAGCACGTAAAAGGAGAGTTCAAGAGTTCAAAAATGGGTGATTGGTCTTACTATACTCCAGTGAGTAAAACACTAAGAAGCAATGCCTAGGCAGCATCCGATTCTGCAGAAGCAGCTGTATCTCAGTCATTTGGGAATTTGTGCATGGATGTCCCATATGACAAGTGACCATAGTAGCATCTGTGTAAACAGTTTGTCTCCTTTGACCAGGCAGTGCTGCTTGTAGTTCATTTTGGAAAAAAAAAATGGACCTCATTGCCTAAGCAGAAGGGGTGATCACAACTACATCTCTAAAATCCAGGGGTGAAATGCTCCTGGTTCAGACCGGATCGCCTGATCTGGTAGCAATTGTGGCAGGTGGTTCGGAGAACCGGGAGTAATCACGGTGCAAGGCTCTGTCCACCCGCCCGGTTGTCGTTACTTCCTAGTTTTAACCAAGTTAAAACCAGTTTTAACTTGGGTTCACCAAGGTGATCAGAAAGCTAACAATCGGTTCTCCCAAAGTGGTGCGAACCGGCTGAATCCCACCACTGGCTCTTAGCCTTTGCATGGGATGTTATGACTAAAACATAAAGAAGGTGAAGCCAGGAGAAGGAAATAGGCAAGGTCAGGACAAGTGGTGGGATTCAGCCGGTTCTGTCTGGATCGCGCAAAACAGTAGTGGTGACTGTGGGAGGCTCCGCCCACCCACCCGGATGTAATGCATGTCTACTGGGCATGCACAGAAGGCCGTGCGCATGGGCAGAGGTGCACACACTCACATTTGCGAACCAGTAGGGAAGGTAAGTGAATCCCACCTCTGGTCAGGATAGAAGGAAAACACAATGTAATTTAACTTAACCTTGGTGCCAATCCTCCCTTCCTCTGCAGGTCTGCTGCTTCATCTTCCGAATCAGTTATTACAGAACCGGATACAATATTGTGGCTTGTACTAATTGTCTTCTGCTTCTGCTCATCTCCATCTCTCCCTATTGGCTGATGCATCCAGAGGGAGAATATGTCTTCTCCTTGGGATTCTGGACCAAATGCTTTGAACACAAGTGTTACATTATTGCGCAAAGTACAAGTAAGGAGGATTCGCCGAGCTTTCACTTTTCATTTTTGGACAATTTATTTTCACATAAATTATGTGAAAACCTGAAACTGAATTGTGGAAATGTTAAATAAGATCCCCGACTTTTAATTAAGTTTAAGTGTGTTTTTATGAACCTTGCCTTTCTAAAATATATTTTCATATTTTTTATACACCAGCCAGAGTCCCTCTCTGAGGGAGATCGGTAGTTCAAGAATATGATGAATGAATGAATGAATGAATGAATGAATGAATGAATGAATGAATGAATGAATGATTGAATGGGCAAACAAATGACATAACCCTGCATCATAGATGTGCATTTGATGGAATAGCTGACTGTTCAACTTAACAGAATAACAGAGATAGAAGGGCCTCTACTTTATCAAATGCCTTACTGATGTCCAAGTAAATTATATCCACAGCATCTTGCTGGTCCACTAATTGGTCATTTTTGTCAAAGAATGCAATAAGATTTGTCAGGTATGATCTGTTTTTGACAAACCCATGTTGGCTTCTGGTTATGACATTGTTTGCCTCTAGGTGTTTGCAGATTCATTGCTTGATTATCTTTTCCAGAATCTTTCC